GCTCTCCGACCTTCTGTGTGCGAAAAGCAAGAGGAGGGTGGCGGATAGTGCATGCATTTAAGCAAGAACAAATTGAATGCTGCAACGGTACCGGCTCAGACGCCGATACCGAGGAAGGGCGTAATCATTTATGGTATGTCAAAGAGTACCATCTTTTCGTCCATGGATTTGATGGATGGCTTCTATCAAATCCTTATGCGAGAACGGGGTATACCCTATACCGCAGTTAGCACGCCTAGCGGCATGCTCTGGGAATGGCTAGTAATGCCACAAGGGCTTAGTAATGCCCCTGCCACGTTCAACAGATGTGTATCACATCTGTTGAGACCAGTACGAGAATTCGCGCCGAGTTATTTCGATGACGTATTCATCCATAGTCGGGCTATATATGGAAAGTCGGACGTTGAGGTTCACAGAAACCACGTCCGACAGGTTCTTACAATCATGCAAAGCATCAATTGTATGCCAATCTCAAGAAGTGTATATTTGCAGCAAGCGAAATACCACTTCTTGGATGCATCGTTGGTAAGAACGGTGTACGTCCTGATCCCGAAAAGATCAAGGCGATCACCGACTGGCATGTGCCAGTTGATGTCAAAGGTCTTCAAAAATTCCTTGGGATAGCGGCGTATTTGCACAAGTGTTCACGCAATTACGCCGAGATGACTGTGCACCTCTCTCGTTTGTTGAAAAGAACGAGAGGTGGTTATGGAACGCTGAATGTCAGCGCTCCTTTGAGGGTATCAAACAAACCTTGATACAATCCCCAGTCCTAGCAATTGCAGATCAGGACAGGCCATTTCATGTGGTCTGTGATGCCAGCGATTTCGCAATCGGCTGTGCATTAATGCAGTGCGATCTTGAAGGCGTTGAACGCGTCGTCTGCTATCAGTCGCGTCAGCTGCAACCAGCTGAGCGGAACTATCCAGTGCATGACAAGGAACTCCTTGCCATGAAGTATGCACTCGCGAAGTTCAGAGTCTATCTATTAGGAGATAGACCCTTCATTGTTTACACAGACCATGCGTCCTTACGCACGGCAGTAAATAGTCCGCACCTTTCACAACGAATGTCGCGGTGGTTGTCATTCTTTGCAGAATACAACTTTACGGTCGAGTACAAACCAGGACGACTTAATGTCGTTGCTGATGCACTCTCACGTCGTCCCGACTTTGAAACAGTCGCGAAACCCAACAGTGAGACAGTCACTGTTGCGGTTATGACGTCCTCAGTCCCATCTACAACGTTGTATGATGATGTGAGGCGGGCATACGCCCAAGATGGTGAGATAGTGAAGTTGTTGACACATCTCTCCCAACCATCTCGAGAATCGTTGATACGATTGTCGTCTGCGTATCGATCTGCATCAGATCGATACACTACTCGTAACGGTTTACTGTATTATACAGCCGTTTCTGGTGACACACCACGTGTTGTCATTCCAGATGATACTGATCTGCGTTTGCGGATCATGTTCGAGTACCACGATGCTCCTATAGGAGGACATCGTGGCCGAGAAAAAACATATCCCACGGTGAGTCGAGACTTTTACTGGCCCCGCCAGTATCAGTTTGTGCGAAAGTATGTTCGCGCATGCGAAGTCTGCCAACGAGTGAAGTCAAGTCCTTCACTGCGTGCACCTTTACGGCCTCTACCGGTTCCGGCTGAGTGCTGGGAATCCATCTCAATGGATTTCGTCTTCAGCTTACCCAAAGACGCACGCGGGAATACGGGTATTCTCGTATTTGTTGACAGATTCAGCAAAATGGTACACCTTGTGGCTGTACCAGAGACAATCACGGCAAGTGGCTGTGCTTGTGTCTTTATTGACACCATCTTCCGACTTCATGGGTTGCCCCGTGAACTCGTATCAGACAGAGATCCACGATTCACTGCTGATTTCTGGCGTTCCGTGTTCAAATCACTCGGAACGCGCTTGAAGATGTCGACATCTGATTATCCCGAGTCAGATGGTCAGACGGAACGTGCCAATCTTGTCCTTGAAGAAATACTTCGAGGATACGTACACTCCTTTAAGAGTTGGAGTGAGTTTTTGCCAATGGTAGAGTTTGCCATCAACAACTCGGTGCATGCGTCCACGACACATACACTGTTTTACGTGAATGGCTTGCGCCATCCGCGTGTACCCGCCTTACTAGAGTGTGACTCTGGTTTAAGTGGGGGAGAGACTCGCGCGAGCATAACCGAATTGGTTCACGCTCATCACGCTCTGACGATGAGGTCATTGCGTTTGATGCCGATATCGACAACATCGATATCGAAGAAGATGATGCCAGTGAGAGCGAGGAAGCCCTCACTGAAGAAAAGGTTGATGTCGCTGCAGTGCACTCACAGCGCACTGAAGCTAACGAGTCACCAGATGAGTTCATACTGGCTCGTGAAACGGTAGTCCGTTTTGTGCAAGACTCCATCGCCGAAGCGGTGGATAAGAAAAAGCAAAACGCAGACAAGAATGGAAGGGCAAACACTCTTTTATTCAATAAAGGTGACTTAGTCCTACTGTCTACGGTTAAACTACCAAAGCATGTAGTGACTAACGTGGGTAGTAGTAAACTACTACCCAAATACATCGGTACATTTCGTGTATTGCACCGCCTAGGCAATGCATACACGATCGAACTGCCACGTAAGATGCGAACGCATCCCACGTTTTACGTTGGTCGGCTTAAGCCGTAACATCAGTACGCTGCTTCTTCCGATGAAGAACGCCCATGCGCTCAAGCATCTCACAGAGATGTTCGTGCTCCCGATGGTGGGCATCAACAAGGGTCTGAAAAGCAGTTAGCTCAGCCCGAGACCGGTCGATATCCCCACGAGCTACCCTTAGCTCGTCACGAAGAGATGTCAAAGATCTCTCGTTCTCAAGCTGAGCAAAGGCAAACTCAGCTCGATGCTTCGAGGCAGTGTCCGCCATTTGGAGACGCCTATTCCGCTCATGCTTGAGGTCGTCGCGTAACGAAAGAGTTACGCGATCAAAGAAGCTCTCGGAGACACACGCTCCCCCACAATATCTTGGAAAGCGTCTTCTCTCCTCCTCCACCTCCATTAGAGGACTCTCGCGGTGGCCAGCGCTATCTAGTTGAGCAGCTGTTGAACCACCGCGACGTGAACGGACGTCGGACGAGTTATCTCGTCCGGTGGCGCGGCTATCCCCCGTCCTGGGATTCTTGGGAGCCCCGCTCCCAACTGATGATCGACGTACTGGGTCTGATCGAGCAGTACGACGCGGCACATCCTGTGCCGCAGAAGGACCGCCGAAGAAAGTCTTCCCGGCACGGTCGTAAATGGATTTCAGGTTGTCAATCCCTTCGTACATCTCAGTAGAGATACGTACGCGCCACCACGGGCTGGTAAGGAGGTAAGCCTCCTTAGGTGCTCGTGCAGAGTTGTTCACACAACATGGGCACGAGTCTCCCCATGAGAGGCAGGGTAATCCCTTTCTCCCTTGACAGACGATGCAGCTTGTAGCGTGCACCTGAAGGGGTTCGCTTTTCAAACTTATCACGAGCTTTGATAAGTTTGTCGTTCCAAACGTCACGACCTACATCCTCAAGGTTATGGATGTAAGCGTTTCACGCTTGAAGCAGTGAGGGACCATCACGTTTGTGATTCCCACTGTACGATCGATGTCTAAAGAAAGCATTGATGAAGAAATCATTCTCAGCGCGATAGTTCTTCGCGCTGGGGTCAAGGTGATGGATCCTTGACGAATCGAACAATCGTGTTCGATAGTGATCACTTGTCGTCGCCGACAAGCGATCCATGACAGACTTCGGAGGCAGCCATGCCTTCTTTTCTGGAGTAAGACGCAACACGTTGCGGTCCCGCTCTGATTGCGAAGTGCCGACAGAAGTACTGGCACCTCGCTGTGAAGTGGTGTTAATGGGAGAACCGACACCACCATGAGCGCCCGAGTCTTGCGATCTCGAGCGCCTTCGCTTTGGCGATGGTTCATCTGACTCGTCAGATGATCCAAAGATGCTACGACGCCTAGCATCATCCATGCCACGCTTGGCAGGCGATTTGGTTTTAGCCGTCTGCGATACGGATCTCTCTTCCGTTTCAGAAGTGTATAAGACGCCGAGCTCATACTCTGCTTAGACATGAGTGCCTTCATGACTAGCGCCTGCATCACCAGGTGATGCAGGCATAGACGCTTCAGCAACAGATGACACATCAGTTGCAGCGTTTTCTGCTTCGGCGTCTGCACAGAGACGTGCGGACGCGCTCTCGGCGGCCTTGCTCGCGCACCGCATGGGCTTGTTAACCATGCGATGGAATGTTGGAAAGTGGACTCGGACCAACAAGTGCAAACCCTGTCCCAAATGATTTGGGACGAGTATCCATTTAGTCAATCAGTCACTAAAGTGACTAATGGTTAAGGGGGGGTGATGTAACGGGGTGAATCGTTACATAACAATTTATAAGAAATTGTTAATAGAATATAACTATAAGAGTTATATTCTCAAAATATTGTCATATTGACAAATATTCTATAGCACTTACGAGTAGTTCCTGATTGGTTGATATAGGCCATTATATCAACCAACGAAGACGCGCCACGACAGACGCACGCAATGAGTGGTGAGCAGATAGTTGATTTACACATTTGTATTCAGACATAGTTAGATGAAGATAAATAGTGATTTATTAACAGACATTAACTATGATAAATACAGTTCTACTTTTACTTTAACCAAGTACTCGCTTCTTCTTACCGTCTTCCTCTGCACGTACGAGTGTACGTGAAGTTCCGAGGCACTGCCTTATTTTGTCATCAGAATAAGTAGCTTGTACTGTCACCAGTACAAGCTTCAGGGTGCCCCGTTACATCCACGGTCGAGAGCCGAGACCACCCTCGAGTGGTCCCGTTTCAACGAGACAGTCGGGTCGACTAGCGAAGCGACCTGCTCACGCAGTTGAGCGATGTCTCGACGAGCTACAACCAGCTCGTCACAAAGAGAACGAGTCGAACGTTCGTTCCTAAGCTGCGCGAACGCAAAAGCGGCACGATCGTCCGAACGATCGTGCGCTAAGAATCTGTAATTATCCCTTACAAGATCCTCAAGCCCATAACGCCGAGTCCGTTCATGACCCAGGTCATCTTGAAACTGTTCCGTTACACGGTGCAGCTCTTGAACATCAAGCTGATCCGACCCTCGAGCCGGATCATGAGTTCCGGCCGACACCACATCCTTTGGTAACTCAGGCGGTGGTTAACGCTTCCTAGTGGAGCTTATTTTGAACTACCGCAATGTGAATGGCGTCCGCACGAGTTATCCCGTCATCTGGAGTGGCTATCCACCGGCCTGGGACAGCTGGGAGCCTCGTGATCAACTCATTGTACATGTCCAGGGTGTCGTCGAGCAGTGTGGCGAAACCCACCCGCTGCGTTCGAAGAAGGGCCGCAAAAAATGACCTGCCCGAACGCGAGTACAGGGAATGCAAGGTGTAAATCCCTTCGGCTATTTCAGCACAGATGCACAATCCATGAAACGGAATCATTGGGGAGGAAGGCCTCCTTAGGGGCACAATCCAAGTGGTCCAGGATACCTCGATTTGGGTCGCCCGACGAGAGACAGGGCAGCCCTGCCTCCCTTGACAGTCGGTGCCACTTGTATCGTACACCAACTGGGTTGCGCTTCTTAAGTTTGATGCAAGCTGCATCAAGTTTACCGAGATAGGCCTCATGGCCAATGCACTCCATGTTATGGATGAAGGCATTCCATCCTTGCACCAAAGCCTTACTGTCTCGAACACGGCTGCCATTGTACCACCGATAAATGAAGAGAGCGCATCGGTGAAAAATTCTTCAACAGCACGGATAGTTTCCGTGCTGGATTTAGATGATCAGATCCTTCTACAATCGAACAACGGGATTCGATCCCGTTCGGTGGTCGTACCGGTCACTCGATCTAACTCCTTGGATCATGGCATCCAAGGAGACTCCACTTTAAGAGCAATACGCAGGAAATTTTGGTTTATGGTCTCTCTTAGGTAGTGTCAGCTTGAACGATGACACCGGTAGCAGATGGATCCCTCCAGTTTCTTCTCTTGCGGTGAAGCAAAGGTGCGTCACCGCTATCACCATGACTCCCCGGAGATGGACTTGCGTGATGCGAGGATTCGTAAGACGAATCTCTCGGTCCGAAGAAATCGGACATGATGGCACCGCGTTTCCCAGAGCCAGTCAAAGTAGCTCTGGCATGGTCTGCCCCGGGTATCAGAAGGCAGGGGGCGCCGCCTTCGAGTCGGATGCATCATCCGACTCGCCAGAATAGATGACCTCTATTTCAGGCTCATCTACATTGCGATACGCAGTACCAGGTGCAGACGCAGCGGATGTATCTGTCGCACGTGGTGACTGACCACGTAGACTATTCATCACATGCATCGCCTGTTGCTAAATCGCAACATTAGGCGAACGATCACCTGCTGCTGGAGCAAGAGAAGCACCCACTTCGGCTGTACGCATGCGTGAAAACGCCTTTTCCTGTTGCTACGGCTGCATGTTGCATGGACTTTGACACCATGCGAAGAACTGGCAAATGAGTTATGATGTGACCAACGAGTGCTGCCCCTTTCTTAGGGTAATCGAAAGGGAACCACCCAATCCCCCATCAGTAAAAATTTAAATAGCGGTGTGATTGATGGTCAAGGGGGGTGATATAACGGGGTAGTCGGTTACATGACATTGACATTAAACGGTGTCATTAGAGATTTTGTCTAGCGTGACAATATCCTTACAATATTTTTCGAGATGGATAATATTGAAGGAATATTATCCCCTTTTGAATGATATTCATTCACTGCTCCAAGATTGGTTGATGTAAAACAAATCAACCACAGATTACCACCAATCGCTGCTAGACGCGCGCAATGAGTGGTGAGCAAGTTGTCTTCATACGACGGCGTAGTTTAATTAAGTTAGATAAGGATTATAGTTATATTGATAGCTTAACTGTATAAAATACAGCTCTCTTTTTACCTTTACTCAACCTGGTTGTTAAGTATATTAGCTTCCTCACCACAATCTAGTGTACGTGAAGTTTCGTGGCACCCCAAACAACGGTTGCCCCATTGCATGTGCACTACGAGCGTGTGCGATGGCCTTGCGTGTAGTTTGGTCGTTCGTAAGTCTGCACATGATCATGACGTGGCTTACCGCCACACCATGAAGACCATAGTCTGGCGGCTGGATTGAGTTGTAGGTCGCGCGAAAAGCTCACCACTCGAATAAGTAGAGAGGACTGGGGCATAGGTGTCCTTTAAACGTTTGAAAACCAAGTAAGGAGGAACCCATTGCCAATATTCGGCAACGCGATGATGATCTTATTGCAATTGAAGAATAACACGTTGAAGACATGGCCGTGGTAGCGCAATCGTTGCCATAGGATAGCTAGGAAGAAATTCAATGTGTGTCTAGTGAATGTAAATCTCAAGCCGCAAGTGAGGGAATAAGTCCAGACCCAACTATGGAAAAAAGTTCACGAAAAAACAGAGACATTCAATGTGCCGGTCAATGACGGACCATGTATAGGCACTTACCATCTTGATCTGATCGTGCCTCCGAAGACACTCCTCAATTGACTTCGCGCTATCGAAAAAGGTTCTTTCGTGATCTACGTGGTGGCATGGTCAAACGCATTTGCGTACTCGTTGTGGAAGAAGAGTACGCACTTGATACTCGGTCGACAATGATATTTGCTGAGAATGAAAGAGTTTGCAACAGCTCATCATTGGACGAGAGTTTTATAATGGTAAGAAGACTTGCATTGAGCGATACACATTCCGATTGTGGGAATCTTTTAAGACAAATCCTCAATATGATAACTTGGCAAATGTTGAGATGTATTCCCAGATACAGTGCCGTGCGAGCTGCCCAAGGATAAGGGTTTTCGCTATGAAATTGTAGAAATCAAATTTAAGGTTTTGTGTCATGGCACAGTGGCCACTGCCTTGTGAAAAGTTCACAGCGATCAACAGATTCTTTGCCGAGCGCTTGGCATCAGACCGTGTAAGATTTTCTACTTCCCCACATAGCTCTCAGAGCTTCTGTTTCTGAAAAGCTATAGGAGGATAGTGGATAAAACCAAATCAAGCTATATGCTTCAACTGTACCGACTCAAATGCTGATAATAAGGATAGGTTTCATTCACGATAATTTGTCAAAGGGTACCATCTTTTCATCGATGGATCTAATGGACGGGTTATATCAGCTCCTTATGCGTAAAAGTGACATCCCGTACACAGCGGTAAGCACATCAAGCCGTATGCTTTGGGAGTGGCTAGAAATGTAACGAGGAACCCTTTGCTTGGGGTGCCACGAAACTTCACGTACACTAGATTGTGGTGAGGAAACTAATCTACTTAACAACCAGGTTGAGTAAAGGTAAAAAGAGAACTGTATTTAATATAGTTGAGCTATCAATGTAACTTTAATCTTTATCCAACTGTATTAAACTACGTCGTCGTATGACAACAACCTGCTCACCACTCATTGTGCGCGTCTAGCAGAAATTGGTGGTAACCTATGGTCGAGATGTCTTTTAGCAACCAATCTTTGAACAGCGCATGAATATCATTCAAAAGGGGATAATATTCCTTCAATTTTATCCATCTCGAAAAATATTGTAAGGATATTGTCATGCTAGACAAAATCTCTATTGACACCGTTTTGGTGTCAATATCATGTAACGGGCTACCCCGTTGCAAGATATGCCAAAGGGATAAAACAATGCCCCTGCTGCGTTCAGCAGATGATATACAAATATGATAAGACCGGTGCGACATTTCACCTCGATTGACTTTACTAATTGATCTATTATAGCCAGGCTATGGGCAGAAGGACGGATGTAGAGATTGAAAAAACACACGTTCGTCAGTTCTGTACGCTGATGTGAGAAACAAGTTGTATGTTTTCCTCAATGAATGTTATATTTGCTGCTAGTATAATGTAACATCTTAGATGCATCCTAGGTAAGCACAGCGTCCGGTCCGATCTGCAAAAGAGCAAGAAGATCACTGACTGGCCGGTTATTTACCGATTTTAAAAAGGACTTTAAAAGTACTTTGTCTAGCGGCGCATGTGCACAGATTATATCACAGTTAAGCCAAGATGAATGTTCATCTCTCTCTTTAAATTCCAAGGACCTGTAGTGGTCATATAGTGCTGGTTGACATGTCCCCATTAAGGGTATCGAGCAAAGCTTGGTATGTCACCGATTTTGTCAATCTTATGACCAAAAAAGACTATTTCATGTGGTCTGAGATGCAAATAAATTCAGGATCGGATGTGAACTGATGTAGTAGGACGCAGACATTGCAGAGCGTGTCAGCTGCAACTGCCTGAATGAGAAGCTAGTCAATTACAAGGAAATGCTTGCTATGAAGTATGATTTGACGAATTTCAGGGTCTCCCTGCTAGGAGATAGACCCTTTGTTGTATAAACGGACAAGCATCCTTATGCACGGCTGTCAACATTTTATTTTTACACCTTCCGTAACTAATGGCAAGGTTGCTGTTGTTCTTTGCGGAGTATAGCTTATCTGTGCAATACGAATTAGGACTACAAAGTGACTTCGCTTATACCCTGTTGCGCCGGCCCGATTTCAAACTTTCTGCGTAGCTCGACACTAGTCCGATCATTGTTGCGGTTTTGACGTCGATTGTCCTGTCGTCAAACTTATTCGAAGTCATACACAAGGTGTACAATCTGGCGGTAATGCGTTAGATGGATCACCTCTCGCAACCATTACTACAATCCGTTAAAGGTCCTCCCCGATTATATCGAACCTTCACGGATAGATGTATAGTCCATAATGGCTTACTGAATCATCCAGAAGTTGCCGGCGACACGCCTCGTTTCGTCGTACCGAACCATGGTGACCTGGGACTGCGCATTACGTAAAAGTAATACGATGCACTTACTGGTGGAAAACGTGGTCAGGAACGACATATATCAAATTTAGTCGCGACTTACTGACCCCGCTAGTATCAATTCGTGCATAAGTTCTTCCGCGCATGAGAAGTAGGTCAATGAGCAAAGTCTGGTCCTTCTCTTCGTGCGCCATTGCAAACTTTCCCATTCCGGCAGAAATCTGGAACTCTGTCTCGATGAATTTTTTCTGGGTTCATCGCTGACCCACACAATAATACATGTACTCGTGGGTTCGTTGATAGATTCAGTAGAATGTTACACCTGGTCGCTGTTCATGAATTCAACAGTTTATTGATATGAGCTCGAGTTTATTGACGATCTTTTGTCTCAATGGAGTGCCTCGTGAATGCCATTTTAAATGAGACCTAAGGTTCACCGCTACTTTCTGGTAATTTGTACTCAAAACACTCGAAACTCGCCTTCTAATGTCGACCTTTAACCACCCTAAAACAAATGTTCACATAGAACTTGCCAGCCGGATTCTTCAGAAATTCCTTCGGGATTAATTCTATTCGCTTGAAACTTGGAACTCATTCTTTTCAATTGTGATATGCGCCATTCGGTGCATGCATCTACGACGCATATACCGTTATACGTGAATGGCTTGCGCCATCTACACCTGCTCACCTTTTAGAGTGTATATCTAATTGTAAGGGGGAGGCTATCACTTGAGCAAACGCCAAATCGGCTCTCACTCATCACGTACTTACCACGAGGTCACTACGTCTGACGCCGATGTTAACCACATCGAATTCTGTGAAGAAGAGAAAAGTAAGAGCGAGGGTGCTCTTACTAACCAGGTCACTGATCTTTTCTTATTGCACTCCAAGCGCACTGTGGTAAGAGACAACGAGTCAGCAGCTAAATTCAACTGGATTGCTAAACAGTTGTCCGTCTTATTCATATTCCATCGTAGAAGCGGTGGAACGACAAAAGAAAAACTCTGACAAGAATATAAGAGCAAACGTTCTTTCACTCGATATAGGTGACCTAGTCCAACTATCTACAGCAAACCTACCTCAAAGCATGGTAAATGACGTGGGTAGTAACAATATACTAGCCAAGATCATCGATCCTTTTCGTGTGCTGCACCGCTTAGGTAATACATACACAGTTATACATCACGCATACAATGGGCCCTACTATAAACGATCAATATCCCCAGGCAATAAATGATACCTAATCTTGTATCTGTAGTAGTCTCGCTAACGGTACCAAACGGGGCCATGACTTCCATCACGCCTGGAGTGTACGACAAAGAATTCCTTATTATATGTCGTGACATTGAGTATCTCGTTGTCGCCGCTTGTTTGTGGTCGACATTTAAAGATACAAGTCGCCGTAAATTACCTCAACTTCCGCGGACATTAAGGTCATTTATGAATACCCTCTCCATTGTGTACACAGATGCACGCTACGGTTCATATGCATGTCTCAAACGATTTTAATGTCATCGTTTGTATTGACTGTACATTTATATGAAGTGATCGGGCTGCACCTTTTTTTATTTTCGTGATGGTCGACTCCCGTATTTTACAAATAAAATTCCACCTTGGTAAACTCTTGACTTGACACGATTTGGGTTGATAAAACTATTGTATCATTTGAGTTTCAGACCAAGAAGGGATATGCATGCTTTTCATATCTCAGTGCAAATAGACAAGCTGGTAGTCGTATTAAAGTGCTGTTTCGGATGATGTATCGTGACTAAAAGTTACTTTTATCGTCACAGCAGACTACTGCATATGCCGTTGGCTGAGTTTAAGATGTCGATGACAATCTAACTCGTGTCGCTACAACCTGTTATAGCCATGTAGGATACACAGTTGATGAGAGTGTCGAACACGAATTTATGTTTATTATTCGCTGAGAAACATGTTATCGAATCGACTGGATCTTTCGGCCAACCCCAAGTGATAATCTACGTCTGGCTATCCTCCTATAGCCCCTGATTACAGTGCGTGCGCACTCTTTCATCCTAACGTTGCCATAACTTCATGTAAAGTCCGCAGATGACAACGGATCGAAAATAGGTGCTTGACATGGTTGCGGACGTCAAGTCTTTCTGCTGCATGCCCCCTTCATCGTGTAGACGATGAAACAGCACTATAATGGATGCTGTTCCGTCCAGCTCCTCCATCTCATATCACGTCAGCTCGTAAACATCATTAGTGGTTATCAGCAGGCCATCGTTGTACGGGTCCCCTAAAATGTCTCGAAGAATAACTGATGGCTCTGCACTACTGTTGTAAAGCCTCCTTATAATGTCAACCACACTTGGATCGCGGCTGATACGTCTTGAGCAGGCAGTAGATCCTGTTCTTCTCCGCTTGCTTCCGTTTGTCCACGACCCTGGTTGAACGGAGATTCCGACTGATGAGAACCGCTCCTTGACCAAATCGTAATCTCTTATGGGTAGTCAACTCCTAAAGAAGCTCTCGTCTGCCTGTTGGTAATGGTCGAAGGCTTTGGTTTTTGCCTTCCCTCCTGTACGTTTTCAATACATACTCGATAATTGTCCTGCCTTTTGATACGCAAGGCAAATCATTCCGCCGCGCGTGGGCGAAAGCCATACCCTTGTTAGCTGCCACACTTTCATATACTCCTGATGGAAGTTCCTCTTGTGGCATCCATATCGAAGGTGATCCCATCACTTGTTGCGATGCTATTTCGTGGAGGAACCCTGATGGCATGGAAGCGATGTGCTCATTCGTGTCGGCCATGTAACTTAGGTGATAAAAAGAGTACATATAAGGTAGATGGAGGGTGATAGTTTAGCGGAGCTACTTGGCTCTCCTGAACAGAGGAAGTCTTAGACTCAAAGACTCTCTTAGTTAAAATAAACTAAAAACGACGTGCAGTCGTTCAAGCGTACAAGCTAAACAATTTCGGTTTTAAAGGGATTTACGAGGCATAGAATCACACACTAACTAGCGACTACTATGATGAACAAGATGCAGCGCCTTTACAAGGCTAATGCTCTAACAGCACACAACGCCTTTACCAGGCACTCGTGTCCAACGAATAAAAAGGGGAACTGAACTTTGTTTATTCTTTGACTACGGTAATAAAACCCTAAAATGATTACTAAGTAATCTTCTGAATGCAGGCATTTTACAAAAACGACTAGGCATTTTACGAATCCCCTAATTAGGTCAAACCTGACTATAAAGAGTCCCAGTAGCAAAGCCTGAAGCCTGTAGTATCGCACTTTCGGCACAGGCTAAATAGCTTAGTCTTCACCACAAGAGTATACGCCCATCTTCATACATGTAATACCTTGTACCTAAATGGCAAAAATGTCTTCAATTCGTGCATATCAGCTACAAACTACACATCACCTGCTTACCTAAGGTACTTCAGACGGATCTACTTACCACCCCGAACACGCTTGAACGCATCACTTATCTCCATCGATCGCTTTCGCATCTTCGACTTTTCATTCAGCGGCGCCAGATCGTGATACGCCGATAATTTCTTGGCTAGTAGGAAAGCCACCTCCATGCTCTGCGAATAATTCAGTCGTGGGTCACAGTAGCTTGTGTAGCGCAATGGAAGATCACTCTCTTCGACGCCCTGTGGGCCACCAATGCACTCGGTAACGTTTTCACCCGTCAGCTCAAAGTGCACTCCACCCAAAGCAGTACCAGCCTCACGGTGAATCTCCAGCGTCTGCTCCAGCTCGCCGAAAATGCGGTCGAATGGCCGCGTTTTATAGCCGTTCTCGGCTACAATCGTGTTGCCGTGGCATGGATCGCAGGACCAAATCACCTTCAGGCCTGCAGCTTTCACTGCTGCAATGTGTTTGGGCAAGAGGTCGGACACCTTGTCACTACCGTAACGAGTGATAAGCGTGATCTTGCCCGGATCGGCTTCGGGATCCTTCCACAATTGACGAATCAAGGGTACCAATTCATCCACACCCATACTCGGACCAACCTTGATACCAATCGGATTCTCAATACCGCGGAAGTACTCGACATGAGCGTGGTCCAGCTGACGTGTGCGATCGCCGATCCAGAGAAAGTCCGTCCCAAGGTTGTAATACTTGCCATTCACGTTGCGTGTCATAGTCTCTTCGTACCCGAGCTCCAACCCTTCATGCGACACAAATAAATCTACCGTCTTCAAATAAGGCGAGTCCGCCCCAACACCACACATGTGCACAAAGTGCAAACTGTCCGTGATCTCACTCGCCATGTGCTGATACTCTTCCCGCCGAGAAGAGATTTGCACAAAGTCGAGATCCCACTGGCCAGCATCGTGAATATCAGCAAAGCCCGAGTCCAGCAAGACACGACCGTAGTTCAGCGTTGCAGCGCTATGAAAATAGCCGTCCAGTAGTCGAGTCGGATCCGGTATGCGCTCGTCTTTGTTGTATCCATTGATGTTTTCACCCCTGAAGCTCGGCACCTCATCGCCATCGAGTATCTCCATGTCACTCGATCGAGGCTTTGCAAACTGCCCCGCCATGCGTGCCACACGGACCGTGGGCATTCGTGCTCCCCACACGAGCACGAGACTCATTTGAATCATAATCTTGAGCTTCTTCTCAATCAGCTCGGGCTCACAGTCTTGGAATCGCTCTGCACAGTCCCCACCTTGCAGCAAAAAGCGTTTTCCCGCAGCAACTTCGGCCAACTGCGTCTTCAGTCCCTCAATCTCACGCACTGATACAAGTCCAGGCAATCTCCTGACTGTACCCATTTCGCCCATCCAAACGTCAGTTATCAATGCAGAGACACTGGACCGTATGCTATAGAGCCAAAGTAAAAGCACAGAGTTTTTATCGTACGTTTTGCATGTGCGACCTGCAGCGCCGCAGGATCTGGATACGGCGCTTGTTGCTTCACGGGAAAGTCGCGCCACGACGACGGCGTCCACTCGGAGCGCTCGGGACGGGACATCATCGACACGGTGTGGTGAAATGTGTGACGTGTGACAAGGAATGGGTACAACACCGGACGACCAGTCAGATGGATGGGTACGGATTCGATGTTTGGTGTGTGTGTGTACCACACACCAACCAATCGTCCCCGGCTGAAGTAACGTTAACAACCTACTTTACAGCATGCCCAAAGGTCGTCTGAAACAGCGGCTTCGACGTGACTCAATCGTTGTCGTGAACGCATTCACGCTACAGTCAAGCACGACTCCTGACGCTACGAAGACACAGCAGCGAGGCAAGAGACCAAGTGAGAAGCAGAAGAAGCGGGTCAAGACACTTCAGGACGGCTCTACGCGCCAGGAGCTCCCGCAGCGTCTAAGAAACGATCTGATTGGTCAAAATGTGAACGCGTCCGGTCCAGTCAAATTGACAGATTCTGAACTTACGCCCGGCTCTGTCCTTCGAGTGAAAAGAGCTACTGACGTTGTACCAGGGGTGTATTGGGTCTTGCTGACCCGCGCGACGTTACGCGCCTGTGTCGTCACGTTGCCCGCTGGTGACGAGACGTCTCCTGCTCAATTGGCGGGCATGCTCAAGCTCCTCGGTCTGCAGGCTGTTGCACTGCACGGAAAGATGACGGGACAGCAGCGACAGGCGACGGTACAGAGGCTACACGCCGGGAGATCGCAGTCGACGTCAGTGTTGCATGCTATGGTGCTCGTGACAACGGACAAGTTCCTGCCAAGCACAACGTGTGTAACGGCTGAGGTGGTTCTAGTTGGCGCGGTGAGCGCTCTTGCGACGCAAGTCGCGACCACGAAGTTTGCTCATGTGCACCATGTGACAACTGCTGCAGGAGGGACTGCTGGAGCACCAGAGTTGCTGAATTTGACGCAATTTGTTCCGGAGCTTATGGCACCTTGTTTGCAGCAACTGCAGACACGGTTGAAGCTGGCGCGACAGGTTGTGGACATTGTGCAACGTACTGGCAAAAGGAATGTTGTTGCTGCTGCGATGGACGATGTTGATAAGTGGGCTCAAAAATTGACGAAACTAGCAGATCTAGATGATGATGATGGTGAAGATACTGCTAGTGGGAACAAGAAGAAGCGTAAGCGTGCAATGACACCAGATGAACAGAGGCTGCAGGCGTTGACGGAGAAGCTGTACGTGATGTTGGCGCGTGGATTGCCAGGACTGATCATGAAGAATACCAGTGTGTCGACGAGTGGAGGACAGGAGTGTGATAGTCAATTTCGGGGTGAGAAACTGAAAGTGTTGGGTCTCGTTACGATCAACGCTGCTGTAGGGACGGCCATGACGGACGAGCGTACGTCTGCTCAAACTCGGTGGATGGACTTTGCCGAAGGAAGACAATTCGGTGGTCAGTGGGAGGGATCTGTTCGGCATGGTGCGTCGAAAGACAGAAGTTCACTCGCTCTTCGCGAGAAGGTTTGTGCTGCACGAGGCAAGCTGCATGGGTCAAACCACTTGAGCCGATGGATGCCTAACAAAGAACCGATTGACATTGAGCAATGGGGTGGTGCATTCGGCAAGGTGTGCGGACACAACGAAGTGGTTATGAACGATCTGCGGGCGTTTTATCCACAAGAAGTCTTGAACTCGAAGGTTTGCAGCAAGTTTTTTCCTGCACCAGGTAACCAAGGCTTCGATGGGTGTCTGGAGCACTTACGATTAGCTTGTGTGGCACAAAGCATGAGCATGACGTTATGGGATGCCGAGTACTTTATCTTCATCTCTTCGCGCGGGCGTGTCACCTGGTCGAAGAAGAGTCAACTTCTGTTGCTATCTCTGGCAAGTTTGCGATGCCTTGTCCCCGCGCTTCGCGACTGGACCGCAATGAGTGGCGGCCATGTGCCACCGAATGCAGTTCTTTTAGCAATTCGACTTTGCTGTCAGCTTGGCCATGGCGGCAAACGATGCAATCTGCCTCCTAACGTGCTGAAGCGCATCATGAGCTACGCGTTTGGTGGATCCGCCCGGTTATGGCGACAAATTGTAAACGCTCCAATTTTGCTAGACGAAGATATCGTGTACGATTCCGAGTAGAAGGATCCAACACATCGGAATAAATAAAAACAGTCTTGTGTTGCTTACACCTGCATGTGTTGGATGTCGTCGAAGCCCCGCACCAAAAGGGTCTCTCTCTATTCGGTTCTAGCCTCCGGTGCAGCTTTTCACACTTGCTTCCACATCTTCACTGTCGGCTTCCCTCACTCTTGTGCTCATCTATCGCACGTCCAGCAATAGCAGCAAACAATCCCGCGTCATCACTGTCTCCAACAAGCCTGCTCACGAGCACGGTCAACCTGACTGCCATTGCTATAACTGTGCTTCGACGTTGAATAAGTAGAAGACGAAGGCGCGTCCTTCACACTCGTCGCGTGTTTCTGCAGCACTAACTTTTCTTGCACGGGGTCGAACACGAGCCAATCATCAGGTCGCAGGATAGTCTGGTTGGCATACTGGAGCTTCACCTGCACGAGCTTGGCCACTGCTTTATTGCACGCCTCGACATCTACAGGACATGGCGAGATCTCTCCAACGATCTCATCTTCTCCATCTTCGTCAATTCCTCCTGAACCCTCATCTTCTGATACCAGCTCCGGCACGTCTGGCTCGGGGGCTGTAAATGGTAGCCTAAAAAACACAACACCCAACAAAAAGCAAAAGCCGCGGGTCAACACGTTTTATATAGACGTTTCAAGTCGCAGCACTTTACTTACAAGGCGAAAACGGTTTCAAAAAGTGGATAAAACAACCACGGACCCGAAACGAATTCGATAAAAAGCAGCCAGCCTCGCGATAGCACTTGCCATTGTAGAGCAACAACGGCAACAACCGAAGCGCCCAATAGATGCAGCGTAGACACGTGTACACGGACAAGTGGCAGCAGCGTCTGGTGCATTGCGATTTCCTCGACGAACACTTCAGGGAAAGAAAAGTGCGGGTACATGTCGCACAAGTCGACACTGGAAAAGTACGCAGTGCTTAGCAGATTCAGTAGCACGCTGACGACTAGTACGATGTACGCGGCGAGCCACGGCGCACGGCAGAACCGACCATCTGGATAATTCATTTTTGTACAGGGGCAGAAGCCGTAAAAAGTCGTTCCGCTGCTGGTGATGGACGGGTTTATACCACAGAAATTGTTACTCGTTTTTTTTTCATGGATAGGGTGAAACTACTACTTTTAGTTTATTTGATGGGGGAATGCCTGTCACTCAACTGAAAAAGAGCACAAAGCTCTTTTTATGATCTTGCAAAAAGCGGATGCATCTCCGATTGAATAAAGAAAGTGGGAAATTCATGGGCTATAAATTTAGTGTTTGAAATTATATTATTTTTGATGTGCCGGCTTTTCAAACGTTTAATGTTAATCGAATTATTACAAAAAGATTTTCAATCGACAAATGTCAGTGCTAAAAGTAGCCGTCGGCTTGTGATTTTGTGGCATTTTTCTAGGTAGATCAGATCGTACCTTCTTCCATAACGATCTCTACGAAATCGTCGCCCAGATACGAATACAGGATGGCGCCCGCGTCGTCGGCGATTTGGAACTCGCCTTGCCCGATATCGTCATCTTCCTCCTCTTCCTGCTCGGCTAGCTGTTGCAGACGCCGCTCTTCTTCCTCCTTACCAGTCGCGGCTCGCACCATGGTGTATATATCGGAATTTCTCTTGGCCAACGAACGTTTCAGCTGCGCCAAGTTGTAGATGATGGCGACCTTGTAACGGGGCACCCTGAAGCTTGTACTGGTGACAGTACAAGCTACTTATTCTGATGACAGAATAAGGCGGTGCCGCGTAACTTCACGTACACTCGTACGTGCAGAGGAAGACGGCAAGAAGAAGCGAGTACTTGTTTAAAGTAAAAAGTAGAACTGTATTTATAATAGTTAATGTCTGCAATAAATCACTATTTATCTTCATCTAACTATGTCTAAATACAAATGTGTATATCAACTATCTGCTCACCACTCATTGCGTGCGTCTGTCGTGGCGTGTCTTCGTTGGTTGATATAATGGCCTATATCAACCAATTAGGAACTACTCGTAAGTGCTACAGAATATTTGTCCTTATGACAATATTCTGAGAATATAACTCTTATAGTTATATTCTATTAACAATTTCTTATAAATTGTTATGTAACGATTCACCCCGTTACATCACCCCCCCTTAACCATTAGTCACTTTAGTGACTGATTGACTAAATGGATACTCGTCCCAAATCATTTGGGACAGGGTTTGCACTTGTTGGTCCGAGTCCACTTTCCAACATTCCATCGCATGGTTAACAAGCCCATGCGGTGCGCGAGCAAGGCCGCCGAGAGCGCGTCCGCACGTCTCTGTGCGGACGCCGAAGCAGAAACCACAGCAACTGATGTCTCATCGGTTGCTGAAGCGACTCAGCCTGTGTCACTTGGTGATGCAGGCGCTGGTCATGAAGACACTCATGTCTTCACAGAGTATGAGCTCGGTGTCTCATACTCTCCTGATACGGAAGACGGATCCGTATCGACGGCGACTGAATCCAAGCCGCCTGCCAAGCGTGTCATGGATGATGCTATGTGTCGTAGCATCTTTGGTTCATCTGATGAATCAGATGAACAATCGCCGAAGCGTAGGCGCTCGAGGTCGCGAGACTCGGGCGCTAACAGTGGTGTCGGTTCTCCTATTGATACTACTTAGCAACGAGGTGCCAGTCCTTCTGTCTGCACGTCGCAGGAAGAGCGGGACCGCAATGTCTTGTGTCTCACTCCTGAGAAGAAGGCATGGATGCCTCCAAAATCTGTCATGGATCACTTGTCGGCGACGACGAGTTATCGTTATCGAACACGGTTGTTCGATTCGTCAAGGATCCATTACCTTGACCCCAGTGCGAAAAACTATCACACTGAGAAAGAATTCTTCATCGATGCTTTCTTTAGACATGGATGGTACAGTGGGAATCAAAAACGTGGTGGTCCCTCACCGCTTCAAGCGTGAAACGCTTGCACTTAAGACCTTGAGGATTTAGGTCGTGACGCTTGGAACGACAAACTTATCAAAGCTCGTGATAAGTTTGAAAAGCGAACCCCGACAGGTGCACGCTACAAGCTGCATCGTCTGTCAAGGGAGAAAGGATTACCCTGCCTCTCATGGGAAGACTCGTGCCCATGTTGTGTGAACAACTCTGCACGAGCACCTAAGGAGGCTTACTTCCCTAATAGCCTGTGGTGGCGCGTACGTATCTCTAGTGAGATGTACGAAGGGATTGACAACCTGAAATCCCTTTACGACTGTGCCGGAAAGACTTTCTCCGGCGGTCCTTCTGAGGCACAGGATGTGCCGCGTCGTACTGCTCGACCAAACCCAGTACGTCAACCATCAGTTGGGAGCGGGGCTCCCAAGTATCCCAGGACGGGGGATAGCCGCGCCACCGGACGAGATAACTCGTCCGACGTCCGTTCACGTCGCGGTGGTTCAACAGCTGCTCAACCAGATAGCGCTGGCCACCGCGAGAGTCCTCTAATGGAGGTGCAGGAGGAGGGAAGACGCTCTCCACACAATCGTGGGGAAGCGTGCGTTCCCGAGAGCTTCTTTGATCGCGTAACGCAAGGGCTACGCGGCGATCTCGAACATGAGCGGGACAGGCGCCTCCAAATCGTGGACACTGTCTCGAAGCATCGAGCTGAGTTTGCCTTTGCTCAGCTTGAGAACGAGAGAGCTCTGACATCTCTTCGTGAGGAGCTAAGGGTAGCTCGTGGGATTGTTGATCGTTCTCGGCCTGAGATAACTGCTCTTCAGACCCTTGTCGATGCCCATCATCGAGAGCACAAGGCTCTCTGCGAGATGCTTGAGCGCAAGGGCGTTCTTCATCGGAAGAAGCAGCGTACTGATGGTACGGCTTAAGCCGACCAACGTAAAACGTAGGATGCGTTCGCATCTTACGTGGCAATTCGATCGTGTATGCATTGCCTAGGCGATACAATACACGTAAGGGGCTGATGTACTTGGGTAGTAATTTACTACTACCCAAGTTAGTCACTACATGCTTTGGTAGATTAACCGTAGACAGTAGGACTAAGTCACCCTTATTGAATAAAAGAGTGTTTGCCCTTCCATTCTTGTCAGCGTTTTGCTTTTGCTTATCCACCGCTTCGGCGATGGAATCTTGCGCAAAACGGACTACCGTTTCACTAGCCAGTATGAACTCATCTGGTGACTCGTTAGCTTCAGTGCGCTGTGAGTGCACTGCAGCGACATCAATCTTTTCTTCAGTGAGGGCTTCCGCACTCTCACTGGCATCATCTTCTTCGATATCGATGTTATCGATATCGGCATCAAACGCAATGACCTCTTTGTCAGAGCGTGATGAGCGTGAACCAAATCGGTCTTTGCTCGCGCGATCCCTCCCCCCCTTAAACCAGAGTTACACTCTAGTAAGGTGGGTACACGCGGATGGCGCAAGCCATTCACGTAAAACGGTGTATGTGTCGTGGACGCATGCACCGAGTTGTTAATGGCAAACTCTACCATTGGCAAGAACTCACTCCAACTCTTAAAGGAGTGTACGTATCCTCGAAGTATCTCTTCGAGGACACGATTGGCTCTTTCCGTCTGACCATCTGACTCTGGATGATCAGATGTCGACATCTTCAAGCGCGTTCCGAGTGATTTGAACACGGAACGCCAGAAATCAGCAGTGAAGCGCGGATCTATGTCTGATACGAGTTCACGGGGCAACCCATGAAGTCGGAAGATGGTGTCAATATAGACACAAGCACAGCCACTTGCTGTGATTGACTCTGTTACAGCCACAAGGTGTACCATTTTGCTGAATCTGTCAACAAATACAAGAATACCCGTATTCCCGCGTGCGTCTTTGGGTAACCCGAAGACAAAATCCATTGAGATGGATTCCCAGCACTCAGCCGGAACCGGTAGAGGCTGTAAAGGTGCACGCAGTGAAGGACTTGACTTCACTCGTTGACAGACTTCGCATGCGCGAACGTACTTTCGCACAAACTAATACTGGCGGGGCCAGTAAAAGTCTCGACTCACCGTGAGATATGTTTTCTCTCGGCCACGATGTCCTCCTATAGGAGCATCGTGATACTCGAACATGATCCGCAAACGCAGATCAGTATCATCTGGAATGACAACACGTGGTGTGTCACCAGAAACGGCTGAATAATACAGTAAACCGTTGCGAGTAGTGTATCGATCTGATGCAGATCGATACGCAGACGATAATCGTTTCAACGATTCTCGAGATGGCTGTGAGAGATGTGTCAACAACTTCACAATCTCGCCATCTTGGGCATATGCCCGCCTCACATCATCATACAACGTTGTAGATGGGACTGAGGACGTCATAACCGCAACAGTGGCTGTCCCACTGTTGGGTGTCCCGACTGATTCAAAGTCGGGCCGTCGTGAGAGTGCATCAGCGACGACATTCAATCGTCCTGGTTTGTACTCAACCGTAAAGTTGTATTCTGCAAAGAATGACAACCACCGCGCCATTCGTTGTGAAAGGTGCGGGCTGTTCACTGCCGTGCGTAATGACGCATGGTCAGTGTAAACAATGAAGGGTCTATCTCCTAATAGATAGACTCTGAACTTCGCGAGTGCATACTTCATGGCAAGGAGTTCCTTGTCATGCACTGGATAGTTCCGCTCAGCTGGTTGCAGCTGACGCGACTGATAGCAGACGACGCGTTCAACGCCTTCAAGATCGTACTGCATTAATGCACAGCCGATTGCGAAATCGCTGGCATCACAGACCACATGAAATGGCCTGTCCTGATCGGCTATTGCTAGGACTGGGGATTGTATCAAGCTCTTCTTGATACCCTCAAAGGAGCGTTGACATTCAGCGTTCCATAACCACCTCTCGTTCTTTTCAACAAACGAGAGAGGTGTACAGTCATCTCGGCGTAATTGCGTGAATACTTATGCAAATACGCCGCTAGCCCAAGGAATTTTCGAAGACCTTTGACATCAACCGGCACAGGCCAGTCGGTGATCGCCTTGATCTTTTCGGGATTAGGACGTACACCGTTCTCACCAACGATGCACCCAAGAAGTGGTATTTCGCTTGCTGCAAATATACACTTCTTGAGGTTTGCATACAATTGATGCTTTCGCATGATTGTAAGAACCTGTCGGACGTGGTACCTGTGAACCTCAACGTCCGACTTTCCATCCATAGCCCGACTATGGATGAACACGTCATCGAAATAACTCGGCGCGAATTCTCGTACTGGTCTCAACAGATGTGTATCACATCTGTTGAACGTGGCAGGGGCATTACTAAGCCCTTGTGGCATTACTAGCCATTCCCAGAGCATGCCGCTAGGAGTTCTCACTGCGGTATAGGTTATATCCTGTTCCCGCATAAGGATTTGATAGAAGCCATCCATCGAATCCATGGACGAAAAGATGGTACTTTTTGCCATACCATCAATGATTACGTCCTTCCTTGGTATCGGCGTCTGAGCCGGTACCGTTGCAGCATTCAACTTGTTAAATGCATGCACTATCCGCCACCCTCCTGTTGCTTTTCGCACACAGAAGGTCGGAGAGCTATGTGGGGAAGTTGATTCCCTCACATGGCCCGCAGCTAAACGATCGGCAAAGAACTTGTCTATCGCAAGCACTTGTTCACGAGGAAGTGGCCACTGCTTCATGACACAGTACTTCGAGCCTGGTTTAAGCTCGACCTCGTGTCGAATACCTTTATCCTTCGGTAATTCGCACGGAACAGTTTCAGGGAATACATCCTTGAATTCAACCAAATCCTTATAGAGAGGATTTGTCTTGAGCGATTCCCATGATTGGGAGTCGTATCGCTCAACTCGTGTCTTTTTACCGAGGACACTCTCGTCCATCGATGAACTACTGATAACTCTCTCGTTATCAGTAAACACTGTTGCTGACCTTATGTCGGCTACACACTCGTCGTCAGCGACGAGTGCGCAGATCTGCTTGACTTTGCTGCAACGCAGATTACGCAAGAACCCTTTATGTTCGAGCGTTGACAACTGAGTGATCTCCGAAGTCGACTTCGGGGGCGCAATCAGATCAAGTGTATAAGCGCCTACGCTTGATCCGTCATTGACTATGACATTCAATGTCTCTGTCATTTCCTGGGGACTTATTCCCTCAGGCCTCGAAGGACTTATTCCTTCGGCTTCCCGGGGACTTATTCCCGCGGGTTTCGGGGAACTTATTTCCGCCGTATTTGTAATATCGGGACTTATTCCCTTAACTTCCTCTAGCTGTGGTTGCGCAACCACGGCGAGATCCTCTACGAAAGACTCTCCAGTTGATCTAGGATTATCGTTTCGCTTAACCTGAGCGATCGATTGTTTCTCTTCTAGATGTTCCCCGCTAGGGATACATCTTTGTCCCGGTATACTCGACTTATTCGAGTGGTGGACCTTCGGCGCAGCCTGTGTTTCCTCACAGCCGCCGGAACTTTGCCCCGAAGTGTAACTGTTTGTTACACTAAGGTTTTGTGCAGTCGTACTAACGACCGTACCACAAGTGAGGCCATCTCACTCACTCGTAGTACATCCACACGCTTGTGGACGCTCCAAAACGTTCATCAGATGGCCATCTGATGAACAAGCGGCAGGCATCGTTACTGTTCGATGTTGCCAGTTTACTCGTGGTTCGTACCTTCTGAGCCACGGTATTCCAAGGATGACATCAAATTTGTCGTCCAAATCCAATACGATAAAGTCATCGTCATATTGGGTATCTTCTAGCGTATAGTGGATCTTTACTATACGCTTCATGATGGTTACGGATGCGCCTGTCGCAAGACGTACCGTCATCCTCGTAGGAGGTGTGTCACATTCACTGAACTTGAAGTGACCATCTTCTAGCGATTGGCGTCGCACAAAATTGTTAGACGCCCCACAATCGACTAGAGCTCGAAGGGACAACTTATTCGTCACTTCGAGTTTCAAGGTAATGAGTGAGATCTCATTACTTAGAGCAGCAACGCACAATGTATGTGTGTTGGGAGCAACCTTCATCAAGAGGCCTACAAATTCTCTTGACGTTGCTGTACCAGTAGGGTGCTCCGCACCTACTGATCCTGTCCGTTTTTTGACGGTCCATCCCGTTGTTGCGTCTTTGCAGCAACAGCGGACCCGCGTCCCTGCCCTTTTCTCATGGGTGGACGGTCATTACGCCCAGTGTTGCGAGACACTGGACGAGGGGCACTACACTCGTAAGCGTAGTGTCCTGTCTTTTGACATCTGTTGCATTTCTGCAACTTCTTGTAGTCTGTAGAGCGAGCCTTCTCGCTCTCTACATAACAGAGTTCCATCGGCTCTGGACCTCCGTTGTCATATCGTCTCGGCTGACGATATGATGTCGAGCTGGCGCGAGCCTGTCTCAGACTGAAGTCTTCCTGTTCCGCAATGGAAATGGCTTGTTCTAGTGAATCTAGTTCAAGCCGGAACAGGTGAGTCTTGACGGGACCATCCGCAAGACCCTGCATCAACACCGAAACCAACGTGTGTTCATCAACCGGGTTGGAACTTATACAACTCGTGAGATGTCGTATATGTTGTGCGTAAGCGTGCACATCACGCTTACCCTGTTTGAGCTTTAAGAGTTCAGTTCGAGCTCTGAACTCAGCTCTAGGCGGTTCAAACGTTTGTCTGAGCCGCGCCTTGAAGACTTCTAACGACCTAAACGCATATGGGTCGTGCAACTTGAGCCCCAATGCCCAAGTCTTGGCACGTCCTGCCAGATTTGACTGGGCAAATGCAACTTGCATTTCCCCGTCGTCGATGCGACGCGCCCTTATGGCGTCGTCTAATTCGACAAACCATCTCAAGAGGGATTCCTCTTCGACTCCCCTGTACTTGGAGATGTCAATCTTCAAGGTCTCGGGTCGACGCGAGTGCATCGACCCACCAGCAGCAGCCTGCTGCTGTCTCAACAGTTCAAACTGCTGAGCACCCTGTTCTCTCAACAACTCTGATTGTTGAGAGCTTTGTTGGTGAAGCAAGGCTACTTTCTCGCGTTCATCGTCAAGTTCATTTTGAATGAACTTGGCGATAGTAGCATGTTGGGCATCTCTATTGAGAGCCTCTAGCATGACGCTAACAGCATGGATGCCCATGGATGCCCATGGTTGAACCCATCCGTTCAACCGCATCCCATTCGACATCGCTCAAATGGGAGTAGCCGTCACGCGTAGCGTGAAAGCTTTGGTCATCTTCATCATCCAACATATTCATGTTAGGTGTGAACGTGGTCCTTGGGCGGACTACGAAGTGCTACCAGGTGTAACGGGGCACCCTGAAGCTTGTACTGGTGACAGTACAAGCTACTTATTCTGATGACAGAATAAGGCGGTGCCGCGTAACTTCACGTACACTCGTACGTGCAGAGGAAGACGGCAAGAAGAAGCGAGTACTTGTTTAAAGTAAAAAGTAGAACTGTATTTATAATAGTTAATGTCTGCAATAAATCACTATTTATCTTCATCTAACTATGTCTAAATACAAATGTGTATATCAACTATCTGCTCACCACTCATTGCGTGCGTCTGTCGTGGCGTGTCTTCGTTGGTTGATATAATGGCCTATATTAACCAATTAGGAACTACTCGTAAGTGCTGCAGAATATTCGTCCTTATGACAATATTCTGAGAATATAACTCTTATAGTTATATTCTATTAACAATTTCTTATAAATTGTTATGTAACGATTCACCCCGTTACAGACCTGTTTCTCGCATTTATCGAGCCCAAGACGAACACGCTGCTTAGTGCGCACTCGATCGTTCGCTCTGTGGTTTTGCTCGCCACCTACGCCACCGGTCGGGTTGCTATGCACTGGACGAGCACATAGCCGCGATCGCGCATGTCTTGGTCATCGAATTACGACCAAACCAAGGCGGGCTTCAGCTTGCGCGACTCCAGGATGCTCGCGTCTTCTATGCGCATCGCGAGGAAGTACGTGAACTGATCGAGAAGAAGATCGCAGAGCTCCTGGTCACCGGCGACGATCCGCGTCAACGGCGTGCGGCACTGCTGAAACAAGGGACCCTGGCCCTCGAAGATGGCAGCCATGTGAGCCGGCCAGGTTCATGCACATGCTGTAGTAGATCGGGTCGATGAAAAAGTCAAGCGCGTGTGCCGGCGTGCAGATCGTGCCAATGCGATGATGGACAAACCTGGGAAACGCGTTGCAGTCCTCTTCGAGCACGGCGGGAATTGCCTGATCGATGAAATGTTCATGATGCGCAACACGAGCAAAACAGGCTCACACTACCGGGAACGTCGCTTTATCCCCTCCAGCGGGGTCAGATGCAGCACCACTGCGGCCTTCTTCTTCCAGTGCTGGACGTCGAGGTTGAAGTTGTGGACTGGACCCCTCATTGCTACGTCCTCAAAACTTATCATCATGATCGATATCGTGCAGCAGGCTTATCAGCACGGATTGTACGAGCAGGTAGCGCTTAAGAATGACAAGTACAGTGCACCAGCGTGTTTTCGTAAACAAAATCAAGCTGTACGTCTTGTGCAGCTTCTAGACGAAGCAGACGCTGAACATCGACGTCAGAAGGTGCACGCTGTTTTATATTGTTTACGATAAAGACATTGGCCAAGACGATCTGCTTGATTTTGGGTAGCTTCAGCCAACCCATAAACAGGTTGTGCGCCGCGCATCCGAACACGAACGTGAACACGCCGGACTTGAATGCCTTCCGACGCAATCATTCCGTGACACGAGGCGAATACGAGCTAAGATTCCACATTGGCTCTTCCTTTCAGGACGCATCGGCGTACATGGCAACTTCCTCTAGCACGTCAACGTCTTCCTCGACATCCATGCTCACCAGCACACAAAGGCGACGACGCGCGTCGCTCAGCCTCTTAAGCAGGTTCCCTGCCGTCTCGCGATTTAGGTTCATAGCGAAGTACATGAGAAAAAAGTCGAGAGGCCCGCACGCTATCATGTTAAGGACCTGCTTCCCTGCCTTATTCGCTGTGCCATCAAGTGTCATGCAAATATTTTTGAATGTGCCGTTTACCCAAATCGTCTTCTTTTAGAAATCCCATTTACTCGTTGATAAGCAGTCGGCCGCCGATGGCATAAGGTTCTGGGAAGCGGTACGAGGGGCAAATCTTGGCCCGCCATGTCTTCCAGTGATTGCCATTGAAAAGCATGAGTGATGCCGCTGAGAGATACGTCGCGCGCGTCAGCACCTCGTCGGCTTCATTTTGATCATCTTCATTCATGGAGTCACACCAACGAGGTGCATTGAACGAAGTGCGCGTCATCGACGACAACGCAGGGCGCTTGCTGGGTCTGACCTCGATCGGCTCTTCGTCCTCTTCCGACACATACTGGTGTGATATGTGCCCTGCGGGCAGCAATCCCAAACCCTTCGGGAGCTGATAATAGTTTAATCAAGTCGGCAAATAATAACAACGAGAAAGCAGGCGATGTCTGGCCAACCCCGGGCCATCGCCGTTGTTGACGTGCGGATGGAACCCTTGGGCACCCCAGGCGAAAGTCTTGCCGCAGTGCTTTCATTCGCATGTTGCCCATCGTTGGCATGCGATTAAATTGAACTGAAGCGCCGAGGTTGGTCTCCAGGTCATCGAGGAAGGAGATAAGGTTGGGGATTGTGCGCTGGGAAATAAAAACAATAAAAACGCCTCGATATTTCAGGGCTCATTCTAAATGTCGTTTTGAAGTTAATTGAAATGTACGCATCCATAGCTATGTAGTCTGCAGCGCTCGTTAGAGCGTGCGTTCGTACTGAATTAAGGGGCGTACAAATACACAACGCCGTATGTATTTGTGGTCGCAAAAATCGATACAACGTCATCGATCATATATTTTCACTCTTTTTACGGCAATGAGTTGACTTCGTATCAGGCGCGCTTGAGCTTTGCGGTCGTTGTCGTGAAGGTATCGTCTATATCGATACAGTGACTAAAACAGGCATCATTATAGTAGCTCTTGTATTGATGAGGTTATGGGGCCCCAGTGGTATTAAATGTAGCTGTTATATCGATGAGGTTATGAGGCCCCAGTGGTATTATATTATGGCTGGTGCCCGTTTGAACCAAGGAAGTGTCGAGTCGACAAGGGATGGCCAAATGTACTTGCCTAAGCACTCGACGCTACTAACTAACTCAAGTCTGGGACTTGATTCTGGACGAGAATAGCCGTGGAATAATTGAACGGGATTTCGTAAAGGCCCTGAGTTTGTAAAGATCGTATCATTGATGAATTTAAACGTGCCATAAGCTTAACAACAGTCAAGTGGTCGTGCTGAAGTCCTACTTATCCTTGCAAAATCGAGCACGGTGTGCCCAGCAAGATGCATTCCAACCGTGAATCTGGCGCAGCAGTTTCGAGAGCTATTGCACGATAAAGAGGCACTTGTGTAAACTCTTAAGTATACAAGACACATTCTTTGATATTAATGAAACACGCTATTTGTGCACGTCGGAGCAATAGTGTGGATACAACATTGTGATCACGGCGACATGAAAATCGATATTTATACAGTCATCGTAAACAGCATTTGACAATACTTGGCAATTTCTCTGGAATCTCCTTAATGAATAGACTGAAAGATTAACAACACGCGTGGTACCCGTAGATAATGAGATGCTTAATGTTTCCATACAAGCTCAGCAAGTCTCATTACTTCGTAAGTTACAGCGACCAAATTCGTCGCACGCAAGATCACAAAGCCCGATCAACTTGAAATTGTGAGCTTGAGTAAATGGCTGGTAGGACGACTGCTGTAGTTGGGGTCGAAACAACAAAGTCAACGTCCAGGATCACTACGCAAATACGGGTAATACCGGATAATCCTGATCCGCATTGGCCATATTGCTGATGAGAAATTCGTCTGACATAGAAAATCGGCTGTTGGTCAGATTAAATTCAACAGAGTAATCGTAGGGACCGTCATGCACGCGCTACAAGTTACTCGTTCAATAGCCACCTGATCATTTCGCAATCTAATTGACTTATCGTTTGGTAATCCACAAGTGCCTTAGTAGAATGACTGGCCCATATCCTCGGGTCCTTGCCAAGACTGAGCTGTAGACGGTTCATAACAGGGACCATATGGCTTTTCGCATTGACAAAAGGCTCAGGATATCCCCATAAACTCACTGCAAAAGTGGATGCATGATGAAAAGTATAGTTGCTAAGATGGAATGGTTCTATCAAAAACTGCGGCTTTGAACCATTGACAGCAAAACGATGTGTATTTGGACAGAACTTACACTCATACGTTGAGACGATACGGTAATCTTGGTTCTCGGTAGTTGCAAATGTTAGACGCCGATAAGATTACTTCTGTACAATGACGATACGAAGTAGCGCAACTGGCTCTCACACGGCCGCAACAGGATGTATTACTTCTGACAAAAATGAGTTGAAGAAGTATCAGAGCGCATGGCAATTTGTTGCTTGGACATCTATATAATGTTGGCAGCACCCAGTTGCTCGGACAAATCTTGGTAAGGTGTGGACAACTTACATGCGAGCAGACACTGCCTATTGGATGGCAAAGTTTGAGTTTGTTGCTACAAGGATTCGAACGAGTCGATTCTTGAAAACAGGTCTGACATCGACGATTGCTCGTATGATCGGACACGGAGCTGCTTTACAGAGAAAAGTTTATTATATCACACGATCAAGCTGCCCGGAACCGAAAGATTCTAAGTTCGATACTGTGATAATAATTTGCTCGATACTGTGATGATAATTTGTTTGCTTCAATCGGCACTTAAAGCGTAGTATGTATGTAAGTATGTAGTATGTTGAGCGCTGATGATTTCGGTAGTGTGTTCTCGACTACTCAAGGCTGTGGCTGGATCGAAAGGTCTTACCAACGTACTAATCAAGCTATACGCTGACACGACTGTTGTTTGCAAGTTATTTTTGTGTCACTGGAGGACTCCCTGTCGTGTCCATGCCTGAAGCTCTGCTCGGATAGGTAAAGCGTACACAACGAAATGCATGAAAACTCTTCGTTTTGCTGAGCCTCGTCCGTGTCAAAGTTGTGTACAAACCACGCTACCGTAATCAGAAGTACAAAGATAAAAGTGCCGAGAAGGTCCTGGTCCATGCGTCTTTTTACTGGAATAATGAGCGAAGTGTTAGGTGCACCCCGAAAGCCTCAGAGCATGCATTTGAGCTAGGTGTCTTTCCACATACGACTAGCACTTTTACCGGAATTAAGGGTGCCGAGATGCACCGAAGATAACATAAGCTAGTGCGAAACAATTGCAGTCAAACTGACGCGACAGTCTGCAATGTTTGGAACAGAGTCCAAGCTGATAGTAGTAGAACGACGCATAGCCATTTGTAATCTCTACTCTATTTCACAAATATGTGTGCAGTCAGATCAGTGGCTATTGCGCAGTTCTCTCGCTCGATTCTTACCGTCGTAATCATGTCAGGAAGTATATTACTGTCAAACTACACGCGATATTGCGAAGGAAATCGCAGCTAGTCTAGCCGCCACGCAACGTAAAGTTTCGTTGCGATTGGGGACACAAGGATCAGGTGTTCAGCATGCTGGTACTGTGCTGCACATCGGAAAGTGCATTAAGAATGAGACAACAGGCCTTGATGGCACATCCCAATACAGCCATCTATCGATCTACTTACCTTCGTTACGCTTTGAATACACAACCTATCTTTTCAGCTATACAAGTTACGCATTGATCACGACTTAGCTCGTGAGCCTTCGATGAATTAAAAGGCTGCTTTGCTGCTCCTCGAGCTTGTTACAATATCTCTTAAAATCAATAATGGTGGGGCTGGTACCAGGCTATACTTCATGGTTTCTCAACCTTCAGAACCACTGTCACCACTACTGGCACACAAACAACATAATGAAATGACGGCACACATGTTACTCCAACCACTGTTAAGTGTGCATTTGCTCCACACAGTTGCCAGTACCCTAAAGAAATTCCGTGAAGCGCAAGCAAAGAAATAATCGTACCAGTACAACTCGCCAACAATCGAACAGGTGTTGCATCGATGAGTAATGCACAGGCAGGTTTGGGTCATACGGACTCGGCTACAGAAGTTTTTCCGGGAGTTTTCCTCGCACTCGATCAGTTTCGAGTACCCTTCCTTCCCCATAAGTTTCATAAAAAAATTGTCTCCTTGGCTCGTTTACTAAACGCTAGCGTTTGTATTGAATGCACGCCAGCATCTCTTTTAGGCCTCCAACATTTATCCGAGGCTACGTTAATCCTTTAGCTTCGAGGAGTATTCGTTTGCATTCGTCAAGGCAAAACTTCTCGTAAGCAGCAGCCAGCTTCATCACCTCGTCGGTTGATATATTGTTCTATCTTCACGAGAGTGAGCAGTGTAATTCAGCCAGCAAGATTTATTGCACTGTGCAGCCTGCTTCCATAGCCCCGATTTTCTGATGAGGCATCACCCGCAAGTGCGATGGATCGTGCGTCGCAATTCCCCCACTCTATACAATCCACTATCTTGAGCTCTGCAGCCACGTCGTGGGCTTCTTCCGATATCCGTCTTATGAATAGATACTATTCTTTGGCTAGTACTCTGCGCATCGCTGACAACACAGGAACTAGTGTTCCTTTTGCCCCAACGACCCTCTCTTCCTTGCCCATATCGATCAATTCCATGTATCAGTTTCATGTTATCGACGGCAAAGCATCACAATTGTTCAGTAGGAAGCTGAGGTCGACTTGGCTCGTGCTGGTCCAGCGATGCTGCTGTACCGTGCGTTTCGTAAACCATCGCAAACCTGAAAAAGCGGAGATAGAGCACGCATATCCTATGTTGTATCGCTTGTAGGTGGGAACAGGAAGACACAAAGTACACTGAGGTCCTCACACAAGACAGCAACTCGACAGTAATCTCCGATCATGTTGTCACGTGCCTTTATAAAAGTGTAAAAGCTGGTGAGTGGAGCAGTAGCTGTGCTAAAGGAAGCACAACTGTGAAGGCTAGAACCACGCATCTCCCTCTATTCTTTACAAAGAGCCCTTGTTCTGGTCTGGGAATCGTGCTACAGACTAGTAGTACATCCTGTGTCGCGATTACAAGTCGCATCACCCCGTTTCGAGATTGCCTATCCCGCCGCGAAGAGATGCCCATCACATCTATATGATCGCAATGGGAAGAGAGTATAAACGAGCCCCAACCGATCCTTCATTCCGCGCGAACGGTAAAGGTATGCTGGCGTCTTTTCTCTGAGCGTAATGTTCTCCATGCTTTACGTTTCCCGTGGCTCATCTTGGTATACGGTCGCCAATTACGACGCACCAAGGGCCTTCAGGTTATCACGAAGTAAAACGGACCAACTCAAGATCATAATGTGCAGCTAGAAGCCAGACTACCGTAGGAAGTATCGATGCCGCATAAAACCGAAAGTCTACTGATGGCGCGTAATTTTGTGCGCTTGCTGCTTTCTAGACATGCAAATGAATGCAATCACGACGAAGCGAACACAAATGCCGTTTGCGATAAACTGTACAGCAAGCGCATTGCATGCAGCTCGATTTCCACCTAGCTAGACGAAAAGTACGCGTCATTGGTTGTCATCCCTTGTCTTACCCGAGTGCAGAGACGCTACTAGCACACGCTTCCAATGTCATTGTCTTGCTGCTCTATGCTGACAAAAAGGCCTGCGATCTATAATGCAGTGTTTTTATATAAGAACGAACGACCTCCGTGCTAGTCTGTTCATGATGGAGTGAGTGGGAAGGTGAGGTTTGTTCAGGTACGCGTACGACCCACTGCATCCGGTCTGCTAGCGACTAGGTGCCGCGCAGGAAACTAGGTGTATAGTTTACGTTATTATTTGTCCCCGGACAGGTGTCGAGCGCTGCGCGACTTGTAGTCTTGAGATGGCTATATCCTTTCCGGTCGCCGCAAGACCCCGAGAATCGGAAAGTTCGTTGTGAGAATGTTCAAGCCAGTGATTAACACCAGAGTCGAGTAATGTTGCAACCTCCTTGACGACCCGGCGATCCGACGCTATTCAGGATAGAAGCAGAGGCAGCAAGTTTTCAAGGAAGCAAAACTAAAGAAGTACAAAAATCGTCGTACAGGTGGTCCTTGTTGCAACCTGCGGGCTGGCATTATTGCAACTGCAGGATTGACATCTCTACTTACACTTGGAAGTAGACCGATGCAGTTATTGATTGACAAGGTGTAGCTTCAATGCGTAGCAATCTTCGATTTAACGCGAAGCCGGCTACAACTGCTCGCACTGCGTTCATAACTTTAGCCACGAGTTGCGTACGAAAGATCTCAAGTGCCTTTGTTCAGGAAATGAGACCGATGGGAAACAATTATGCGTACGTGACGTCGCTCCTTGTCATTGTTTGATCTGGCGCCAGCTTATCCTCGAGCAAGGAAGCAGAAAAATCTCCTGCGCGATAAGCGCCGTTACCCCATTCAACAGTACAGATAGTACTGTTGAATGGGGTAACGGTGCTCATGCATACAAGTGTACGAGGAGAGGCCTTTTTGCGACAGCAGTGTCCGAGTAGCACTGATCGCAAGAACTTACTGGAAAGCTCAGATACACATGCCAGGCGTCGTCGCAGCGCGACCACAGATCTTAGTTTATGTGGCCGCGCAAACGGTTGCGTCCGCGGTACTTAACAGACTACGGTCCAAGTTGCCACCCTTTCAAGCATTCAGCAACCGGTCAGTACAGAGAGGCGACGGGCAGAATGCACCCAAGAAATCGTTAGCTTAAACGTAATCACACCAATGTATCTCACGAACGAGGAAACGTCGGTGTGGTTTTCTACTCACCTTCATCTTACGGCACAACCTTTGTCTGCTTGAACAGGTACTTGTTTGTCTCCATCACACAATGATTCGAACAGCCTTTAAATTGATATTTCTAGCCCCAATAGCTAGCACAGCGTTCTTCTGACACGGTGCGCAAGTGCGCGTATGTTGGCCAGGAGACTGGAAGCTTTTGTCTCAAGAGACATGCTTCGTCCATTGTTGATCGGGTCATCGATAAACGAAACAGACGGACCCTCCCGGACGTGCTTGACATGACTTCCACCAACATGCGACTGTTTCTATCATTTACTTTGGAATTGTGATGAGCGCAGGCATCTGGTAATTCAAGTAGCACCCTAACAAAGCAAGTAAATCGAATTCGTCGACCTTGTTGGCAGAGAAAAGATGTGCTGCAAGTATCGTAATAGCGTTCTTCTTAGATAGACGGGGCCGTTGCGTTCAACGTCTTTAGATTGCACCATTACAATGTTTATGATACCACACAAATCGATCTTGAGTTGAGGTGGATTATGATGTGATCGGTTGTAATTATTCTTCGACTAGGCCACACTAGAAGTTTAGTGAGCACAAAGTGCTCACATCAACTGTGATGTCGTGTCTGATGCAATTAGCGTCACGCGACGACATCACCAAGCGATTGAAATACGAATGTTTTCTCATTGCTCGATTGTCCGAGGAGATATTCTTATTGCGCATGTGGTTTCATCGCACAAATTGCCCATGTGCATACTTGCCATCCTCCTCATCAAAATGCAAGTTGCGGCCCCTCACCGTGACAGATTTGAACTAGCTTTGAAGTCGTTGCGTACACTACTATATCACATATGCGGTGTAGTGTCAGGCAAGTAAGCTCTTAGCATTCTTGCAGTGGAATGCATCCCGATCATTCACCGGAACCTAAATCATGTCAAGCGTGACAATTGATTGCCTTTTTGGACTGAAAGCTTAGCTTTGTTCAGTACAGTGACTTAAGAGTTACAGAGAGAACGATGTGTCTTTTTGTGGGAGTCATACGAACCTGTGCGTGAAGCACATGCAGGTTATACAAGTAAAGTCTTGTAGAAAATCGTTCGGGGATGATTTACTGGTGAGTTTCAATACACTTGTATCCTACGAAATGTAAAGCGGTGGGCTTTGACCAATAACGGTGATGGCGAGGAAAACCCAGTGGTGACAGCACTCGTTCGATCAAGTCGACATCATCCGCATTTGATTTGCATCGGTCCTGATATCGACTCACCTGACACCCCACGTACCGAGATGGCCACATTGGTAAGCAGGCATTAAGATAGGTATCTGTGTGGATCATCGTCAATGTCGAATTATAGTATTCTGATACACACCTAATGAAATCCCACCCAAATAGGACAGCATATTTAAATACTGCTTGTACGCTTCGTGCCCTGTTGGTGCAGCTTGCTTGAAAGCTGCTCGCGGCAAACCTGTGGCAGCAGTAGTTTTCGATTGCACGGTGATCAGTGTTGATTCACTGCTACTAAATGCTCGCTCAGGTATCTTAGAAGTCACTTTGGTAGTCGTGAAACATCTACCAAGCTTAGCGCAGTGACTAGAGTCGCAAATGCTAGTCAGGATTCTAATGGATGAGGTCAAATAACTATGCCGTCGTAAGAGACCGTTCATTTCCTTGGAAGCACGGGTACTGAGAAGCTCGAATTCGCACGTGATCCTCCCCTCAGTCAAGACAGTAGACATCGAAGCCGTCCCATCAGAGCTCGAACAAATAACTGTCATCCCGGTGTACCGCACTCGACTTGGTCACGCGTCGCAACGTTTTGGTGTTAACAAAAGTAACTAACAATGCGGCTTTACCGACAGTCACAAGGAATCATGAGTATCCCGACATTCGTCCGCAATCATCAATCTCATCACGTTGCGTCGACTAGTGTCGCTGTTGGACCTTCTTCTTATAAAAGGACCTCGTTCTATGGTGAGAACTAGTGGGCTGTCGGATCTCGATCGCTGGCTTTGTATGTCGGTTATTTTCGCCGGACCTGGTGGAATCCCCGTTCACAAGCGGTGCTTTGGAGCTGTGCTGTCTATTTCTGACTCAAACGGATACAGAAACAAGGCGAAAAAAGATTGCCTCCGCCCGGGATTGAACCGGGGACCTTCTGTTTACAAGACAGATGCTCTGCCACTGAGCCACAGAGGCGCGTACTAATTGCTGCAGATATGCTTATATATAGGCAGATTAACGCAGCTACCTCATTTAGGTACCTGGTTTTTCCGTGTAGTAGTACAATTGCGCCAATGCAGTTGATGACCGATGTGACGAGCGCTAGGAGCACTCGAGTGTGGCGATTATCGCCACTTACGCAGACTTCGCCACGTCGTTGTCCACAGACGCGATGTGCAATTTGTGTAGAGGCATGCCATCTGCGCGTATCTCTATTTACTTTCTAACGGGCCTGTGACGGGCGACATTCTCAACGATGCATTTGGAGCAAGAGGACATTTCCAAACACACATGCGTGACGCAACGTCCCTCCAGCGGTCATGACAAGTTGATCTGTCACGTCTCTTCCTTTCACTCTTTTTAGAGCACCCCACTGACAGGTGAAATGAAGAAACCGAACGGATAGCTCAGCTTCATTTGACCGCAGGTGATGTCATTCCGCCTTAAGTAACGACTCTTTCTGTGTCAGTGTCGCCGGTGGTCCCTGTATCGACCGCCGTCTGTACTAGGTAATCAAAAGGGTGACGAACGAGACCACAGCTCGCAAAGAACTCCATGCGTTACCGTCTGGGCGGCCACTTAAACTACAGCGCGCGGTCGTCGAAGCAGCGACGCGTGTCACACGGACGCTGCTTGCCACGAACATTTCGAGCTGTCCAGTAAGCTCTTGCAACCAGTGCTGCATGGGATGCTGCAGGCGCAAGACAGCCCCTCCTCTTACCCTTGCATGCTTTGGTCTTTCAATAGTGCCATAAGTGGTGTTCACCAGGCTGACACCCTAGCTGCTTCCTTGTTTGAGGACCAGCTGATGCCAGATCAAACAAAGACACCGCGACATTACTGCTGTCACGGCAAGCGTTGCAAGTACAGGAGTCGATCAGCACGACAATCGGCTGCTCGCTCGCAATATGCAGCAACTGGTAACGCGCACTCGTACCATCATAGCAAGCATTCGCTATGGCTATCGAGAACACTCAACTCTTTTGTCTATGGATCGGAACGGAGAAGCAGCCGACCCGACCGCTTCGTCAAACATGACATTAATATGCGAAACCTACACCACTTCTTCGATTCGACAACAAACGATCGTGTGAGTTACACCGAAAAAGTAGTCGCGTCTTGGTGACAATATGACGATCTCGCGTGCTTCGACAAAAATGTACGTCCAAAAATGTCCGCACCTGGCCCGACGCCTCCTGGTCGTCCACATGCATACAACTCTCATGTGAACCCACATCCGTCCCGAATTCGGGTGCGTTCACTTTGATATCCACCAATCCAAGCGATGAGCTACGAGCAAATCAACGAATCAGACTACGCCATGTAATCGTCGACGACAAAAGTCCTCTCACACGGCGACGCTTCCGAAGCCGCGCATCGGACCAGTGCGTAGCAGTCACTTTGGAACTTGCCCCACCACCGACAACCAGAAGCCACCAACAGCCAAAGAGCGCAATGGCCGACCAACTAACCGAGGAGCAAATTGCCGAGTTCAAAGAGGCGTTCTCGCTCTTCGACAAGGACGGCGATGGAACCATCACGACCAAGGAACTGGGCACGGTCATGCGATCGCTGGGCCAGAACCCAACCGAGGCCGAGTTGCAAGACATGATCAACGAGGTGGACGCGGACGGCAACGGCACGATCGACTTCCCCGAGTTCCTCACGATGATGGCGCGCAAAATGAAGGACACGGACTCGGAGGAGGAGATTTTGGAAGCGTTCAAGGTCTTTGACAAGGACGGCAATGGCTTCATCTCGGCTGCTGAGCTGCGCCACATTATGACCAACTTGGGTGAGAAGCTGACGGACGAGGAGGTGGACGAGATGATCCGGGAGGCCGATATTGACGGTGATGGGCAGATTAACTACGAGGAGTTTGTCAAGATGATGATGTCCAAGTAAGTAGCAGATTTGAGCTGGAGACGTGGCCCTGGGTCTTTTGTAGCTCGAGCTAGAAAAAGACAGGGAGAGGACGGATGTGTGTGTGCTTTTTGCTTGCAACATAAATTAGAAACAACGAAAGAAATCGACGATTTCTATTGTGTCGTGTGCTGTCTGCTTGTTGTCGTTGCTGCTTTTTTCTATTTGGTAGTGTAGTGTAGCCCACGAACGGACACGTGCGTGCATGTGGTACGGTACTTGCGATACAAACGTCTATAGAAGTTTATGATCACGTTGTTTGCATCGCGCCTTTACACGATCTTCGTGCTCGGTCCTCTCATATCGATCGTGTCAGGAAAGCAATCGACAGGTGGGACACGAACGTCGTCCTTAGTCTTTTGATGACGACAGCTCGCTGCCGTCGCTCTCGGATGTGAACAGAAGGATGCAGACGAAATACGACCGAGCAGTACGGGCGCGCGTGGGGTCAACGCACCATGTGGCGAGGCTTTGCACTAAGTACGCACGCGATACCGTCTGCGACCTTTGACCGAGCAAGTTGAACGATGTTCCTTTGCTGCATCCGTGGCAGCTCCGTCGAGCGACGGTCCCGTACGATCTTAAGTTCGCACGACGTCTAAAAATGAACGACTGGCGACTTAGCGGCACATGGTGAGCTGCTGCTGTCTGGTCTGACGCGTGATCGTCATTACTCGCCCACTTACACACACACACACACACACACATAGTCTTGCGTTCTGGCGAGCACGCGCGACATGCGCACGAAGGCCGTCTCGTGCGTGTCTGGCGTTTCAGTTAAGTAGCACTGTGGGCACCCGCCTCGTCTGACAGATTCCTTTTTTTCATCCAAAATAGATTTTGACTGGACAAAGAACGGTCAAGTCGAGGACGTTTCAGTACCCTGTACGTTCTTATCTCCTGTCCAATCTACACTGTTCATTTCCGCCTTTCCTCAATCATTCAGTCGTCATTGAACCTGTGAGATCGAATATCTCCCGCGCTTCAATCGCTCCCGCGTTTTTCGCTGGATCTTTCTCCGAAAAGAGCTCTTCACAGCAATAAAAAGCGCGCGTCATTCTCCATTGTGACTTCTACGTCGCAAGTGAGAGAGAGTCCGCAGCCCTAACCTCTGCATCGCAGCCCTCCCTTCTGCATCACAGCCATGCACCTTTCGAACCACCAGCAGTTCCAGTCCTCGCCAGACGCCATGGTCTCGTCTGCCCTTGGCATGGCGCGTCTGAACGGCAGCAACCGCGCGGCCTGGAACGCCATGGACCTGGAAATTAGCGCCCACGTCCCGCCTAACGGAAACGCTGGACCCGACAACGGTGCCCTGTCTGCCCGCAACGTATTACTGCGTCAAAAGCTGCGGGAGCGTAAACGGTACGACTCGGCGGATGACGCCATGAAAAAAGCGGCGGCTGCTGCTTCTCGCGCGGCGAGTCGCGAGTATTCGATTTCACAGGGAACGCCGTTGCATGCAGTTTCGAAGGAAATCGGAGTCGACCCGCCAATGGCTACAGTTGCCAGCAGCAGACAGGCGCAACATGCCACGGCTATGGCAGTCGCGAAGCGACGTGTGGGTGGACCACACGAAGCGGTGAGTTCGCCGTGTGCTACCGCAGCGACTGGCCGCATACAATTTGCAAGTATGAGTCCCAGTCGGGCTGGAAAATATGGCGCTCTCGAGAGCAGAGCTGGACCGTCTGTAGACAAGAAGGTGCCAGGAGCTGGAGGGACCAAGTATGGCAAACTCTCTGCTGCGCACGTGCTCATTCGACGGAAACTGAAGGAGCGGAAACGCTTTGATTCGGCGGATTACGCCATGGAGAAACAGGGACGATCGACGGATTTTGTCTCGTCGGACATTGCAGCTGGAACGGGGACATTACCGGTCCAATACGGGGCAGCGGGGCTCTCGTCTCCACAAGCAGGGATTGACCATCAGGTGAAGCATATTAAGCTCTCGGAAGCTCCGGATGGACGCGTCGCGTCTCCAGTCGTTGCAAATGCAGCGCAGGCGGCACTGGCAGCTCGAGCTGCGCGTTATGCTGGACTGGCAGGGGCGAGGCGTGACGTTGCAGCGGGAACCAATCCGATGACACAGGCGGCGTGTGACCGCTATGGTCTGGACAAGAGTGCAATCTCTGCAGGCGCAGCTGCTGCGCGCAATATTGTGCTGCAGCGGAAGCTGGCCGAGCGGAAAATGTTCGATTCGGCTGACCACTTTAAGGAGGCGGCATGAATGTGTTGCAGCATGTCGTGTCGTATGTATGCTCATTGCATTGTGCAGTGATGGACTTGCATGTATGGGTCGAGCGAAAAGTAAAGAGACGTATTGTATTGACGTGGGAAGCACGATGCAAGGGCTGAATTGGAAATGATTGGATGGTAGCGTGGTGAATGTTGTCAGATCTCTTGCTTGATGCGTTGACTGGCTGATAGTGCACGAAGCGAGGCAGAGATGTTGATAGCATGGTGTAAGGGATCGACTAGCAGAGTGTGCCGCAAAATGCTGTCGAAACTTAGTCGCATTCAGGCGAGCATGGAACATGAGAAAGATGACGGTCGGCTCGATATGAGCAGACCATTGAGATGGCAGTGAACAGAGCAGCATTTGCTAGTAACAGCATGTCCCATTATTGCATAAAGGACTTGATCTCGGAATTTGGCGTGACTCGGTTTGTTCATAGTACGTGATGGCCGTTTAGACATGTCGGAAACACGTCCAAAAAGTTCATGCAAAAGTCCGTCATACGTCGAGGGTAGTTTCATTATGCCACAAGAATAAACACCGGATCATGCACGTACGACATACCAGTCTCAGACATGGCTACGCAAAAGTTTCGTGAGCATCGTGGACTTTTGTTGCGACAGCTCCATGCTATCACGACACAGCTGCATGCACATGCACAAGGTCAATGCAGTAAGCGAAAGAAAACTTACTAGCAACAACGAACACGGTTAGCACAACCAACCACCAGCACTTACCCGGCTCATTCAAGCCCGCAGAGGCTCAAATCCGAGTTCAGACCACCGTGGATTTCCTTATTCTTGAGCTTCGTGCGTCGAACGAGGAACTCATTGAAGCCGTCCATTTCCTGCAGATCCTCCTTCGTCATCGGGTTGCCTTCTAAGTGCATCACCTGAACAGCCACGCCTTCTCGCAGCAGCTCAGCAGCTATAGGCTGCACCTTTGCACCAGCTGATCTCCCTACCAGCAGGTTCCCGCGTGCCGAGAGCACCTTGAGCTTGCCACATTTAGCCAAAAAAGCCGGTAGTTCCGTCAACTTGTTGCCGTCTACATTGAGTTCCTGTAGCTCCTGCATCTTGCCCAAGTGTGGAGATAAAGTTTCCAAAACATTGTCCGGCACGTCCAGTTCTTGTAATTGTGTGAGTTGCAGTACACTGGGAGGTATGACACGAAGTTGGTTGTTCTTCAAGGTGAGCTTGGTCAGATTGGGTGGTAAAGCATTGGGGATATCGACGAGCACGTTACTATCTAGCACGAGCTTTATTTGATCACACAATACGTATTAGTGCCGATATTTCATATTTTACAGAGCGCTAAATAAAGTAAGCCCCGTATTTGCAAGTATCCGGATATTTTCAAATAGGGACGATTTCGTACCGTCGTGAGTGCCTTCAGTTCCGATAGATCCGGCAACGTCTCGAATGCGTTTAAAGACAGTTTAAGCGTCTTCAATACCGTCAGCGCGCTTATTTGCGGTGGCAGTTCACTCAGTTGATTGCCCGTAACGTCCAAAGTGCGCAATTTAAACAGCTGCAGGACCTCATCGGGAAGTTTCTTCAGTCTACTATTTGGCAGCGCTAGGACGCCCGTCGTACTAGCGAGCTTAATCTTCTGCTGCCGGACGTCGCGAGTATTCTTCGGTTTGCTCTTGGCCTGAGCGTGTGCCTCTCGCGCCTTTGTGACCGTATTGCCCATGACACCCCTAACACGGTACTGACTTGACGCCTACTGACTTGACAATTCTGACTTTGTGGTACTAAAGTGAAGATGTTGTAATCGTTCCCATATAAAGATACGGGCGCCGCTGAATGTGCGTCTCGATACAGACGTTAACGCTCAATACCGCTGGTGTTAAATGCAAATACCGCGGGAAAGACTGAGCACCTTCAGAAGCACTTTATTCGATAGAGAGATTTTCTTAAGTGGACGTCCGTAACGCTCTTATTCGATACCGTTCCTTCTCGATACTGACATCCAGCCTAGCCCGTATCGCCGTCAGTCCAGATCGTGTAGTCCACATCCACACGGTGCCATTCACCATGACCGACCTACCGGCTGCTCGTCTCGTTTTTCCATTGGTCAAAACCCCACACGTGCTCGTCTCCAGTGACCCGCACCACTGTAGCCATGATAAGCAGCGAGTCAAGTGACGAGGAGCTCTTTCAACCTGCTGCTAACGTCGCCACTGCAGCTGCAGCTCGAAAGCCAAAGCGCGTGCAGCCGAAACCTCTTGTATCTGCTCCCGCACTTCCACCCTCGAGTGATGAGGTGACCAGCCAGAAACGTCGCGCAGAAACAGCCGTCGAGTCCGTCTCAACTGATCCCGAAATGGCTCAGAGACTGAAACGAGAAGCCCGAAAGAAGCGCAAAGTCGAGGAAAAAGAGGCCCGAGCAGCAGAGAAGCAGCAGCAGCAGAAGGACCAATTGGACACTGAACGGGCGGTGAAAGGGCGCGCTTTCACGCTGAGTCTGGCCATCCCCGGGTCCATCCTGGACAATGCCCAGACCAAAGAGCTCAAGACGTACGTGGCTGGCCAAGTCGCTCGAGCTGCGGTGATCTTTCAAGTGGACGAGATCGTCGTGTTTGATGACCAATTGGGCACGAAAGGGAGGACCACGGGCGTGCCCGTGCCTCGCTCGCACGACTGTCACGTGTTTATGGCTCGGATCTTGCAGTACTTGGAGACGCCGCAGTACTTGCGTCGTGCGTTGTTTCCCATGCACTCGGATTTGAGCTGTGCAGGACTGTTGAACCCATTGGATTGCCCGCATCACTTGCGGGCGCAAGAGTGGAGCGTCTATCGCGAAGGGGTGGTGACAGATCGACCGCTGAAGGAGAAGGAAGGCTCGCATGTTTATGTTGGACTACAGCGCGAAGTGGTGGTCGATAAACGCGTGAAGCCTGGCATTCGAGTCACGGTGAAGATTGATGAAGCGTCCAAGGAGTTTAAGAAAAAAAGTGAGTACGTGCGGTACTGTCGATGATGTACTCTCTCTTATTTTGTGACTTACGGTGAATGTGGCTGAGTGTATAGTGACGGGCAGACTGGTGTCGTCTGCTGAACCACGCGAGCAGCTTGGGGTGTACTGGGGCTACACGACTCGCTTTGCGTCTTCATTGAGTAATGTATGGACCGACTGCCCGTTCCCTGGAGGCTACGATCTGAAAGTCGGCACATCCGAACGTGGAAATGTCTCGGTCGATGACGCCGACTTTGCACTGCCAAAGTTCCGTCATGCACTCATCGTTTTTGGCGGTGTGGCTGGTATCGAAGAGTGCGTGGACGCTGATGAGAAGATTCCTTTGACGGGTGCGGACTCGAGCACTCTTTTTGACATGTGGGTCAACACGTGTCCTGATCAAGGCAGTCGAACGATTCGTTTAGAGGAGGCGCTGCTGGTCTCCCTTGCAGCTTTCCGACCACATGTTGCTCGTGGTGGGCGAGCGTGATAGACAACAAGTTCGCGAAGTCTTTGCAGTTGGTCAATCACAACCGGAAAGAAATAGATGTACACAGCATCAAAGTCGGGCGCGGTTTTTGTGATGAGCACAGTATGAACATGGTGACAAAGTTATCCACCTGTAGACCGCTTGGTCGACGGGCACTTTTTGTAGCAGTGGAACATGCGCAAACAGCTCAGCGTGCGGTTCTTGCCGCAGCAACACAGTTCCTTGCACACAGGGCAGCCATTCTCAAACACACGATCGCCGTGCTCTTCGTGCATCTTATCAGCACATCTTGCGCAGAAAATATGGGGACAAGTCGGACACCACACGTTCTTCTTTCGCAGATTGCCACACCGATGGCACGACGCTCGGTGCTGCTTCAGCATATCCACGTAGTCCATGTTACAGTTCGATTGAAGTTGGTGAAAATTTGATCCAACTGCTGATGTCACGGACGTATTGGCTGCATCTACCGGATATGTCGGTATGCCACGGATTGAACTGAGACCTTGTTTTGACCGTGAAGTTGGCATCAAAATTCCAGTGCTGCCTTCCCTCCCAGGTTTGGGTGATTTGTATCCGCAACTTGCACTGTCATAGTGCGGCGAATCGTTACGGGGGACTCGATCCTGACACCTTGGACTGTTGCTGACGTACGGCTGGTTAGAGGTCGATCTTAACTGCTGCTGTAGAGGATCAAAGCTGGCCCACATAGTCCCCATTGGTGCGAGTGAGCTAAAATTGCTCGTGATGCTACCGTCAAAACCAGCACTCGATGTCGCCCAAACGGATCCACTGTCGGAATCTGGTTCCGATGCAGCTGAATAGATGTAGGATGCCTCATTGAGCGAGATGGTTGGCAGCTTGCTGTCACTGCCCAAATGCGCAGTCAATTGTGAGTCTTCTTCTGCATTGTGGGTCAGTAGGTCAATGGCAGCAAGAGCTTGCTCAACACGGTCCACAATAGCTTGTGCCTCGTGCTGAGAGCTAGGGACCCACGTAGTGCGATCCGTTGACTTCAACGATGCAGGGTGTGCACTCCACTCCCGTAACCGGGGTATTGCACGCTGCAAGGCTTGCCGATCCTGGTCACTCACTTGGACATCCAAGCCGTTATGCATCAGGAGCAACTGGTTCCAGTAAAATCGTAGAGCTGTCCAGAGCTGCGCGTTCACATCGACCGAGGACCAACCCGATGTCGTATGATGCCAATAGTGCACGAGTGTCTCGTGTTGCATCTCCAGCAAGACAACACCCAGCTGAGCTGCCATTGCCGATATGCACGTGAAAAAACCGTAAAACAGCGAGCAGCTCTGCACACCGCCAGCATAGCGGGCAAAGATCCAGCCAGCTGGTATAAGCAGTGTACTGCCTGTACTTACGGAACACTTGATGCATGTATCGACTCTTTCAACCAGACACCCCGTTGCACCGTCCTGGTCGTGTTTCCATGCTTGGTAGACCTGATAATTGACTGTAGACGGCGGTATCAGGTACACCCCGAGCTCGCCAGCAGATACCGAGAGCCACATGCACTGCCCTCCAGGGGCTAGTGTAAAATCCAGGTAACTGTTACACTCGAGAAATGCACCAAAGACGTCCGCACTTGCGTTCGGCCCCCCATTGAGTACACGGCTAGAGGTCAACAAGTACCGCCAATCCACTCGAGTAACAGCCACTGGCGGTGCAACCTGCCGCTGTAATGGCGTCCGGAATACCTGAAATTCAGCATTAGCAACCGACGTATCGGCTTTTCCATACTTCTCTTGGTACTGATCAGGACAAGCTGTGCGTGACCACGTCAAGGCTGTGAGCTGCACTTTGGTCTGCGTGGCCACGTCGGTTGACCACACGAGTCGATTCGCAGCCAAGAGCTCCGCAACAACCGTAGCATCAAGCGCTGGAAACGGTGCGTCAAGTCTTGCCATTCCATGGCTATTGCCGGTAATGAGCACGGGCTCATTCAGTGCCTTTTGCTGCAGGAACAAGGGGTGCCATTCTTGAGACGGGACGACGTGGACTTCCGACGGGGTGTATGTGATTACGCTCAGTGGGTGACAGAAGTGGGACGAGTGTTGCTCATCCTGATGACGTGACGCTGTAATGTCATTACGCTCCTGGACAGACGGGGACGAGGAGGCGACGGTCTCCTCTCCGTGACGACCGTGACCGTTGATTGGTGCTAAACATCGAAAATAGAAGAATATCAGAAGTACCAGCAGACAAGACGAGGTCGTAGAAAAGACGACGACAGACGTGACCACAAAGTGGTTAGGTTCCTCCTGAGTGAGGACGAGCAAGCGTATCATCAGGTTACGACGTACGGTACATAGTGGGGACGCCGCAGACGCCGTGGCGGGGCTGGCAGTCGAGGCAGGCAACTTTGGCTCCAAGTAGCGCGTCTTGTTCGTTCATGGGGGACACGCAGGCAGCGTGTAGCCATCGTGTACAATAGCAGCACGCAACGAGCAAAGTGGCTGCGCGCGGATCGATGTCGTGGCCGCACACGGCGCAGAAGAGCGGGACCATGGGCAGCCTCGATTCGCAACGTGGGCACGAGGCGGTCGAACGCAGACTGGGCTTGATCTGCTGCGCATTTGTGATTTCTTCGTGTGACTTGGTAGAGAGAGTCGAGGGCGAGAAGCCCCTGACGAGCGGCGTGGGGGCACACAAGCTGCGAACGACGAGGCAGTGGCTCGACAATGCGCGGCCAGCTGGCCGGAGGTGTGTCGTCCCTACATTCAATACACTTGACACTCAAAAGAAAGGTGCACGCGCGACGCGTTCAGTCAGACAGGACACGCGACGTTGGCGGTGTCTGGCTTTTCTTTGTCACGAGCACGCTAGAAACTGGCGAAAGGAAGTAGGGTTAGGGGACGACTCGCAAACGGGACGAGAGCAGACGGGGCACTTTCTGCCTGTAACGTGCCTTTTCTCTGGCGATCTGCGACATGTTTGCAGTTAGCGACTCGAGCAGATGGCTACAACTCCCCCTCAGCTTGAATGAGTTTGAACGCGTGGGCATTGGAGCAGTTGGGAGACGGAGACACGACAGATGAACTGATTTTCTCCCGATGTTGGCTGGCGGTGCAAGATGCGTGACAATGGCTTTGATCCGAGAGGAGGTACGTTGTTGGGTAGTGAGTATTTCGATGGTGAAGCAACTACGTGGGAAGTTGTCGTCGGGATTGACATGAAGTGAGTTGGTCCCACCTGAAGTCAAGTGGACCAACAGTTGACACTTTTGTGCAATGGACGACCACGGCGGTGCGACGGGATTACAGAAGTGCTGTGTTGGTCGTTCTCATTGTACCGTAATGCGGAAATGGCGACGCAGCAAGAACATCCATCCATTCTGCTGATCCAAACATGTTTCATTATACACTCAGTCGTGTAGTATTGATGGGCGCTACGCACTACACACAATAGTACGGCCTCTGTTTGGTCTACTCGACGGACAGGTATACTCCTTGATTTTTGTCTACAGAAGCCAAATAAAGGTAGTTCATTTTATAAACCTTGCAAAAGTTCTGCTCGTTCAAGTGTTGTACAAGATGCTCATTGTACCGTGGCACTCATTGTAAAAGTGAGGAAGAAGAGCTGAGACCGTTAAGTAAGTCGATACCATTTCATCAAGACCGACTGGAAATGTTCATCGGAGCGACGGGTGGATGCTACGTGTCAATGCGATTGCATATTCATCTTGCGTACGTGGATTGCAGTCATTCACGGGTCCACGATGAAGTCATACATGGGTCCACCGTTTCATTTCTGATATCAAGACGCGTTATGCAAAGATGATCATAGTGTCTCTGGCAGCTTTCATCCTTCCAGAAATTAGGTATGACGTAGTGTCGTCACAATTTTCTAGCTATAACAGATGATGGTCGTTCTGTCGCTTGTCTTTGCTCGATCGCTTGTCTTTGATCGATTGCTTGTCTTTTCTTGGTCGTTGAATGCTGCAAAACACGCCATTTTTTGATCGATTTAACTTGGCGTACTTGTTCGTGGGTCGTATTCAATTCCAGATCCACTGTAGCAACAGTAAGTAAGCTCAGCATAGGTAAATACATTCGAGGCAGTCCCACATCAAGCAAGGAATATTATCGATGCTTGTAACGGGGCACCCTGAAGCTTGTACTGGTGACAGTACAAGCTACTTATTCTGATGACAGAATAAGGCGGTGCCTCGTAACTTCACGTACACTCGTACGTGCAGAGGAAGACGGTAAGAAGAAGCGAGTACTCGGTTAGAGTAAAAAGTAGAACTGTATTTATAATAGTTAATGTCTGCAATAAATCACTATTTATCTTCATCTAACTATGTCTAAATACAAATGTGTAAATCAGTTATCTGCTCACCACTCATTGCGTGCGTCTGTCGTGGCGCGTCTTCGTTGGTTGATATAATGGCCTATATCAACCAATTAGGGACTACTTGGAAGTGCTACAGAATATTGTCCTTATGACAATATTCTGAGAATATAACTCTTATAGTTATATTCTATTAACAATTTCTTATAAATTGTTATGTAACGATTCACCCCCGTTACATCACCCCCCTTAACCATCAGTCACTTTAGTGACTGATTGACTAAATGGATATTCGTCCCAAATCATTTGGGACGGGGTTTGCACTTGTTGGTCCGCGTCCACTTTCCAACATCTCATCGCATGGTAAACAAGCCCATGCGATGCGCGAGCAAGGCCGCCGAGAGCGCGTCTGCACGTCTCTGTGCGGACGCCGAAGCAGAAACTACAGCAACTGATGTCCCATCGGTTGCTGAATCGACTCAGCCTGTATCACCTGGTGATGCAGGCGCTGGTCATGAAGACACTCGTGTCTTCACAGAGTACGAGCTCGGTGTCTCGTACTCTCCTGATACGGATGACGGATCCGTATCGACGGCAATTGAATCCAAGCCGCCTGCCAAGCGTGGCATGGACGATGCTTTGCGTCGCAGCATCTTTGGTTCATCTGACTCATCAGATGAACCATCGCCGAAGCAAAGGCGCTCGAGGTCGCGAGACTCGGGCGCTAATAGTGGTGTCGTTTCTCCAATGGACACCACTTCACAGCGAGGTGCCAGTACTTCTGTCGGCACGTCGCAGGAAGAGCGGGACCGCAATGTGTTGCGTCTCGCTCCAGAAAAAGAAGGCATGGATGCCTCCTAAATCTGTCATGGATCACTTGTCGGCGACGACGAGTGATCGTTATCGAACACGATTGTTCGATTCGTCGAGGATTCATCACCTTGACCCCAGCGCGAAAGACTATCGCGCTGAACATGAGTTCTTCATCGATGCTTTCTTCAGACATCGATGGTACAGTGGGAATCACAAACGTGATGGTCCCTCACTACTTCAGGCGTGGAACGCCTACATCCATAATCTCGAGGATGTAGGTCGTGACGCTTGGAACGACAAACTTATCAAAGCTCGTGATAAGTTTGAAAAGCGAACCCCGACAGGTGCACGCTATAAGCTGCATCGTCTGTCAAGGGAGAAAGGATTACCCTGCCTCTCTTGGGGAGACTCGTGCCCATGTTGTGTGAACAACTCTGCACGAGCACCTAAGGAGGCTTACCTCCTTACCAGCCCGTGGTGGCGCGTACGTGTCTCTACTGAGATGTACGAAGGGATTGACAACCTGAAATCCCTTTACGACCGTGCCGGGAAGACTTTCTCCGGCGGTCCTTCTGCGGCACAGGATGTGTCGCGTCGTACTGCTCGACCAGACCCAGTACGTCAACCATCAATTGGGAGCGGGGCTCCCAAGAATCCCAGGACGGGGGATAGCCGCGCCACCGGACGAGGTAACTCGTCCGACGTCCGTTCACGTCGCGGTGGTTCAACAGCTGCTCTACTAGATAGCGCTGGCCACCGCGAGAGTCCTCTAATGGAGGTGGAGGAGGAGGAAAGACGCTCTCCACACGATCATGTGGATCGGTGTGTTCCCGAGAGCTTCTTTGATCGCGTAACGCAAGGGTTACGCGACGATCTCGAGCATGAGCGGAATAGGCGTCTCCAGATGGTGGACACTGCCTCGAAGCATCGAGCTGAGTTTGCCTTTGCTCAGCTTGAGAACGAGAGATCTCTGACATCTCTTCGTGACGAGCTAAGGGTAGCTCGTGGGATTGTTGATCGGTCTCGGGCTGAGATAACTGCTCTTCAGACCCTTGTTGATGCCCACCATCGGGAGCATAAGGCTCTCTGCGAGATGCTTGAGCGCAAGGGCGTTCTTCATCGGAAGAAGCAGCGTACTGATGGTACGGCTTAAGCCGACCAACGTAAAACGTGGGATGCGTTCGCATCTTACGTGGTAACTCGATCGTGTATGCGTTGCCTAGGCGGTGCAATACACGAAATGGGCCAATGTACTTGGGTAGTAGTTTACTGCTACCCAAGTTAGTCACTACATGCTTTGGTAGATTAACCGTAGACAGTAGGACTAAGTCACCTTTATTAAATAAAAGAGTGTTTGCCCTTCCATTCTTGTCAGCGTTTTGCTTTTGCTTATCCACCGCTTCGGCGATGGAGTCTTGCACAAAACGGACTACCGTTTCACGAGCCAGTATGAACTCATCTGATGACTCGTTAGCTTCAGTGTGCTGTGAGCGCACTGCAGCGACAACAACCTTTTCTTCAGTGAGGGCTTCCGCACTCTCACTGGGATCATTGTCTTCAGTGAGGGCTTCCCGCACTCTCACTGGCATCATCTTCTTCGATATCGATGTTATCGATATCGGCATCAAACGCAATGACTTCTTCGTCAGAGCGTGATGAGCGTGAACCAAATCGGTTTTTGCTCGCGCGAGTCCCTCCCCCCTTAAACCAGAGTTACACTCTAGTAAGGTGGGTACACGCGGATGGCGCAAGCCATTCACGTAAAACGGTGTATGTGTCGTGGACGCATGCACCGAGTTGTTGATGGCAAACTCTACCATCGGCAAAAACTCACTCCAACTCTTAAAGGAGTGTACGTATCCTCGAAGTATCTCTTCAAGGACACGATTGGCACGTTCCGTCTGACCATCTGACTCTGGATGATCAGATGTTGACATCTTCAAGCGCGTTCCGAGTGATTTGAACACGGAACGCCAGAAATCAGCAGTGAATCGTGGATCTCTGTCTGACACGAGTTCACGGGGCAACCCATGAAGTCGGAAGATGGTGTCAATAAAGACACAAGCACAGCCACTTGCCGTGATTGTCTCTGGTACAGCCACAAGGTGTACCATTTTGCTGAATCTGTCAACAAATACGAGAATACCCGTATTCCCGCGTGCGTCTTTGGGTAACCCGAAGACGAAATCCATTGAGATGGATTCCCAGCACTCAGCCGGAACCGGTAGAGGCTGTAAAGGTGCACGCAGTGAAGGACTTGACTTCACTCGTTGGCAGACTTCGCATGCGCGAACATACTTTCGCACAAACTGATACTGGCGGGGCCAGTAAAAGTCTCGACTTACCGTGAGATATGTTTTCTCTCGGCCACGATGTCCTCCTATAGGAGCATCGTGATACTCTAACATGATCCGCAAACGCAGATCAGTATCATCTGGAATGACAACACGTGGTGTGTCACCAGAAACGGCTGTATAGTACAGTAAACCGTTACGAGTAGTGTATCGATCTGATGCAGATCGATACGCAGACGACAATCGTTTCAACGATTCTCGAGATGGTTGGGAGAGATGTGACAACAACTTCACTATCTCACCATCTTGGGCGTATGCCCGCCTCACATCATCATACAACGTTGTAGATGGAACTGAGGACGTCATAACCGCAACAGTGACTGTCTCACTGTTGGGTTTCGCGACTGTTTCAAAGTCGGGACGACGTGAGAGTGCATCAGCGACGACATTAAGTCGTCCTGGTTTGTACTCGACCGTAAAGTTGTATTCTGCAAAGAATGACAACCACCGCGCCATTCGTTGTGAAAGGTGCGGGCTGTTCACTGCCGTGCGTAAGGACGCATGGTCAGTGTAAACAACGAAGGGTCTATCTCCTAATAGATAGACTCTGAACTTCGCGAGTGCATACTTCATGGCAAGGAGTTCCTTGTCATGCACTGGATAGTTCCGCTCAGCTGGTTGCAGCTGACGCGACTGATAGCAGACGACGCGTTCAACGCCTTCAAGGTCGTACTGCATTAATGCACAGCCGATTGCGAAATCGCTGGCATCACAGACCACATGAAATGGCCTGTCCTGATCGGCTATTGCTAGGACTGGGGATTGTATCAAGCTCTGCTTGATACCCTCAAAGGAGCGTTGACATTCAGCGTTCCATAACCACCTCTCGTTCTTTTTCAACAAACGAGAGAGGTGTACAGTCATCTCGGCGTAATTGCGTGAATACTTATGCAAATACGCCGCTAGCCCAAGGAATTTTTGAAGACCTTTGACATCGACCGGCACGGGCCAGTCGGTGATCGCCTTGATCTTTTCGGGATCAGGACGTACACCGTTCTTACCAACGATGCACCCAAGAAGTGGTATTTCGCTTGCTGCAAATATACACTTCTTGAGGTTTGCATACAATTGATGCTTTCGCATGATTGTAAGAACTTGTCGGACGTGGTACTTGTGAACCTCAACGTCCGACTTTCCATCCATAGCTCGACTATGGATGAATACGTCATCGAAATAACTCGGCGCGAATTCTCGTACTGGCCTCAACAGATGTGATACACACCTGTTGAACGTGGCAGGGGCATTACTGAGCCCTTGTGGCATTACTAGCCATTCCCAGAGCATGCCGCTAGGCGTGCTAACTGCGGTATAGGGTATATCCCGTTCCCGCATTAGGATTTGATAGAAGCCATCCATCAAATCCATGGACGAAAAGATGGTACTCTTTGACATACCATCAATGATTACGTCCTTCCTCGGTATCGGCGTCTGAGCCGGTACCGTTGCAGCGTTCAATTTGTTAAACGCGTGCACTATCCGCCACCCTCCTGTTGCTTTTCGCACACAGAAGGTCGGAGAGCTATGTGGGGAAGTTGATTCCCTCACATGGCCCGCTGCTAAACGATCGGCAAAGAACTTGTCGATCGCAAGTACTTGTTCACGAGGCAGTGGCCACTGCTTCATGACACAGTACTTCGAGCCTGGTTTAAGCTCGACTTCGTGTCGAATACCTTTATCCTTCGGTAATTCGCACGGAACAGTTTCAGGGAATACATCCTTGAATTCAACCAAATCTTCATAGAGAGGATTTTCCTTGAGCGATTCCCATGATTGGGACTCATATCGCTCAATTCGTGTCTTTTCATCTAGGACACTCTCGTCCATAGATGAACTACTGAGAACTCTCTCGTTCTCAGTAAACACTGTTGCTGACCTTATGTCGGTTACATACTCGTCTACAGCGACGAGTATGCAGATCTGCTTGACTTTGCCACTACGCAGATCACGCAAGAATCTTTTATGTTCGAGCGTTGGCAACTGAGTGATCTCCGAAGTTAACTTCGGAGGCGCAATCAGATCAAGTGTATAAGCGCCTACACATGATCCGTTATTGACTATGACATTCAATGTCTCTGTCATTTCCTGGGGACTTATTCCCTCAGGCTTCGAAGGACTTATTCCTTCGTCTTCCCGGGGACTTATTCCCGCGGGTTTCGGGGAACTTATTTCCGCCGTATTTGTAATCTTGGGACTTATTCCCTTTACTTCCTCTAGCTGGGGTTGCGCAACCACAGCGAGATCCTCTACGAAAGACTCTCCAGTCGATCTAGGATTATCGTTTCGCTTAACCTGAGCGATCGATTGTTTCTCTTCTAGATGTTCCCCTCTAGGGATACATCTTTGTCCCAGTCCACCCGACTTATTCGAGTGGTGGACCTTCGGCGCAGCCTGTGTTTCCTCACAGCCGCCGGAACTTTGCTCCGAAGTGTAACCGTTTGGTACACTAAGGTTTTGTGCAGTCGTACTAACGACCGTACCACAAGTGAGGCCATCGCACTCACTCGTAGTACATCCACACGCTTGTGGACGCTCCAAAACGTTCATCAGATGGCCATCTGATGAACAAGCGGCAGGCATCGTTACTGTCCGATGTTGCCAGTTTACCCGTGGTTCGTACCTTCTGAGCCACGGTATTCCAAGGATGACATCAAATTTGTCATCCAAATCCAATACGATAAAGTCATCGTCGTATTGGGTATCTTCTAGCGTATAGTGAATCTTCACTATACGCTTCATGACGGTTACGGATGCGCCTGTCGCAAGACGTACCGTCATCCTCGTAGGAGGTGTGTCACATTCACTGAATTTAAAGTGACCATCTTCTAGCGATTGGCGTCGCACAAAATTGTTGGACGCCCCACAATCGACTAGAGCTCGAAGGGACAACTTATTCGTCACTTCGAGTTTCAAGGTAATGAGTGAGATCTCATTACCTAGAGCAGCAACGCACAATGTCTGTGTGTTGGGAGCAACCTTCATCAAGAGGCCTACAAATTCTCTTGACGTTGCTGGATCAGTAGGGTGCTCCGCACCTACTGATCCTGTCCGTTTTTTGACGGTCCATCCCGTTGTTGCGTCTTTGCACCAACTGCGGACCCTCGTCCCTGCCCCTTTCTCATGGGTGGACGGTCACTACGCCCAGTGTCGCGAGACACTGGACGAGGGGCACTACACTCGTAAGCGTAGTGTCCTGTCTTTTGACATCTGTTGCATCTCTGCAACTTCTTGTAGCCTGTAGAGCGAGCCTTCTCGCTCTCTACATAACAGAGTTCCATCGGCTCTGGACCTCCGTTGTCATATCGTCTCGGTTGACGATATGATGTCGAGCTGGCGCGAGCCTGTCTCAGACTGAAGTCTTCCTGCTCCGCAATGGAAATGGCTTGTTCTAGTGAATCTAGTTCAAGCCGGAACAGGTGAGTCTTGACGGGACCATCCGCAAGACCCTGCATGAACACCGAAACCAACGTGTGTTCATCCACCGGATTGGAACTTATACAACTCGTGAGGTGTCGTATATGTTGAGCGTAAGCGTGCACATCACGCTTACCTTGCTTGAGCTTCAAGAGTTCGGTTCGAGCTCTGAACTCAGCTCTAGGCGGTTCAAACGTTTGTCTGAGCCGCGACTTGAAGACTTCCAACGACCCAAACGCATATGGGTCGTGCAGCTTGAGCCCCAGTGCCCAAGTCTTGGCACGTCCTGCCAGATTTGACTGGGCAAATGCAACTTGCATATCCCCGTCGTCGATGCGACGCGCCCTTATGGCGTCATCCAATTCGACGAACCATCTCAAGAGGGAGTCTTCTTCGATCCCCCTATACTTGGAGATGTCAATCTTCAAGGTTTCGGGTCGACGCGAGTGCATCGACCCACCAGCAGAAGCCTGCTGCTGTCTCAACAGTTCAAACTGTTGAGCACCTTGTTCTCTCAACAACTCTGCTTGTTGAGAACCTTGTTGGTGAAGCAAGGCTACTTTCTCGCGTTCTGCGTCAAGTTCATTTTGAATGAACTTGGCGATAGTAGCATGTTGGGCATCTCTATTGAGAGCCTCTAGCATGACGCTAACAGCATGGATGCCCATGGTCGAACCCATTCGTTCAACCGCATCCCATTCGACATCGCTCAAATGGGAGTAGCCGTCACGCGTAGCGTGAAAGCTTTGGTCATCTTCATCATCCAACATATTCATGTTGGATGTGAACGCGGTCCTTGGACGGACTACGAAGTGCTACCAGGTGTAACGGGGCACCCTGAAGCTTGTACTGGTGACAGTACAAGCTACTTATTCTGATGACAGAATAAGGCGGTGCCTCGTAACTTCACGTACACTCGTACGTGCAGAGGAAGACGGTAAGAAGAAGCGAGTACTCGGTTAGAGTAAAAGTAGAACTGTATTTATAATAGTTAATGTCTGCAATAAATCACTATTTATCTTCATCTAACTATGTCTAAATACAAATGTGTAAATCAGTTATCTGCTCACCACTCATTGCGTGCGTCTGTCGTGGCGCGTCTTCGTTGGTTGATATAATGGCCTATATCAACCAATTAGGGACTACTTGGAAGTGCTACAGAATATTGTCCTTATGACAATATTCTGAGAATATAACTCTTATAGTTATATTCTATTAACAATTTCTTATAAATTGTTATGTAACGATTCACCCCGTTACAATGCTGGCTCAGACAGAGTCGTCCCGACAGCTCTTTTGTCAAAGCTATCAAACATCGTTGCATACACATCTCGAAGATTCATCGTGCACTACGTACGATCTGTGACAACTTGAAGTCGCAATTGCTTGCCCAAACCGAGTAGCAACTCTCACATCAAAATAGCCACTAGATCATGAATTCCACTGCTCCTCAGATTCCACGGCAAATTTACCTAGCGAATGCCTCATATGACCAGGCTCTCCTTTGTAAGGATCCAACGGATCTGCAGCTCCATTCTCAAGGTAGCCTACGAATACGACGAATAGCTAACCATTGCAAGCTGACACCCACGCTCGCAGAACGTGGTCTGGGTAAACCGCCTATTTTGCTTCCGCTTAGGCCGCAAAGACAACGCGACTTCTCATTCGAAAATTGCAAACGTAGAGTGTTGAGACGTCCATGGCACCATACCGTGCGGAATAGGTTCGTCACGTCAGCCGCAGCATTGAAAAGGCTAGAAGCAGCTTTAGGGTTATGTCCTGGTATCCAAGGCCGTGTGCCTCTAGAAAAATTGCTTCTGTCCACTATGCCGACACATTCATTTTCATTTGCTGACCAAGACACCACTACAATTCCGTGTCAAGAGCTTTTGCTGTAACGGGGCACCCTGAAGCTTGTACTGGTGACAGTACAAGCTACTTATTCTGATGACAGAATAAGGCGGTGCCTCGTAACTTCACGTACACTCGTACGTGCAGAGGAAGACGGTAAGAAGAAGCGAGTACTCGGTTAGAGTAAAAAGTAGAACTGTATTTATAATAGTTAATGTCTGCAATAAATCACTATTTATCTTCATCTAACTATGTCTAAATACAAATGTGTAAATCAGTTATCTGCTCACCACTCATTGCGTGCGTCTGTCGTGGCGCGTCTTCGTTGGTTGATATAATGGCCTATATCAACCAATTAGGGACTACTTGGAAGTGCTACAGAATATTTGTCCTTATGACAATATTCTGAGAATATAACTCTTATAGTTATATTCTATTAACAATTTCTTATAAATTGTTATGTAACGATTCACCCCGTTACATCACCCCCCCCCTTAACCATCAGTCACTTTAGTGACTGATTGACTAAATGGATATTCGTCCCAAATCATTTGGGACGGGGTTTGCACTTGTTGGTCCGCGTCCACTTTCCAACATCTCATCGCATGGTAAACAAGCCCATGCGATGCGCGAGCAAGGCCGCCGAGAGCGCGTCTGCACGTCTCTGTGCGGACGCCGAAGCAGAGACTACAGCAACTGATGTCCCATCGGTTGCTGAAGAGACCCAGCCTGTGTCACTTGGTGACGCAGGCGCTGGTCATGAAGACACTCGTGTCTTCACAGAGTACGAGCTCGGTGTCTCGTACTCTCCTGATACGGATGACGGATCCGTATCGACGGCGATTGAATCTAAGCCGCCTGCCAAGCGTGGCATGGACGATGCTTTGCGTCGCAGCATCTTTGGTTCATCTGATGAGTCAGATGAACCATCGCCGAAGCGAAGGCGCTCGAGGTCGCGAGACTCGGGCGCTAATAGTGGTGTCGGTTCTCCTATGGACACCACTTCGCAACGAGGTGCCAGTACTTCTGTCGGCACATCGCAGGAAGAGCGGGATCGCAATGTCTTGCGTCTCGCTCCCGAGAAGAAGGCATGGATGCCTCCTAAATCTGTCATGGATCACTTGTCGGCGACGACGAGTGATCGTTATCGAACACGATTGTTCGATTCGTCGAGGATTCATCACCTTGACCCCAGCGCGAAAGACTATCGCGCTGAACATGAGTTCTTCATCGATGCTTTCTTCAGACATCGATGGTACAGTGGGAATCACAAACGTGATGGTCCCTCACTACTTCAGGCGTGGAACGCCTACATCCATAATCTCGAGGATGTAGGTCGTGACGCTTGGAACGACAAACTTATCAAAGCTCGTGATAAGTTTGAAAAGCGAACCCCGACAGGTGCACGCTACAAAGCTGCATCGTCTGTCAAGGGAGAAAGGATTACCCTGCCTCTCTTGGGGAGACTCGTGCCCATGTTGTGTGAACAACTCTGCACGAGCACCTAAGGAGGCTTACCTCCTTACCAGCCCGTGGTGGCGCGTACGTGTCTCTACTGAGATGTACGAAGGGGATTGACAACCTGAAATCCCTTTACGACCGTGCCGGGAAGACTTTCTCCGGCGGTCCTTCTGCGGCACAGGATGTGTCGCGTCGTACTGCTCGACCAGACCCAGTACGTCAACCATCAATTGGGAGCGGAGCTCCCAAGAATCCCAGGACGGGGGATAGCCGCGCCACCGGACGAGGTAACTCGTCCGACGTCCGTTCACGTCGCGGTGGTTCAACAGCTGCTCAACTAGATAGCGCTGGCCACCGCGAGAGTCCTCTAATGGAGGTGGAGGGAGGAGGAAAGACGCTCTCCACACGATCATGTGGATCGGTGTGTTCCCGAGAGCTTCTTTGATCGCGTAACGCAAGGGTTACGCGACGATCTCGAGCATGAGCGGAATAGGCGTCTCCAGATGGTGGACACTGCCTCGAAGCATCGAGCTGAGTTTGCTTTTGCTCAGCTTGAGAACGAGAGATCTCTGACATCTCTTCGTGACGAGCTAAGGGTAGCTCGTGGGATTGTTGATCGGTCTCGGGCTGAGATAACTGCTCTTCAGACCCTTGTTGATGCCCACCATCGGGAGCACAAGGCTCTCTGCGAGATGCTTGAGCGCAAGGGCGTTCTTCATCGGAAGAAGCAGCGTACTGATGGTACGGCTTAAGCCGACCAACGTAAAACGTGGGATGCGTTCGCATCTTACGTGGTAACTCGATCGTGTATGCGTTGCCTAGGCGGTGCAATACACGAAATGGGCCAATGTACTTGGGTAGTAGTTTACTGCTACCCAAGTTAGTCACTACATGCTTTGGTAGATTAACCGTAGACAGTAGGACTAAGTCACCTTTATTAAATAAAAGAGTGTTTGCCCTTCCATTCTTGTCAGCGTTTTGCTTTTGCTTATCCACCGCTTCGGCGATGGAGTCTTGCACAAAACGGACTACCGTTTCACGAGCCAGTATGAACTCATCTGATGACTCGTTAGCTTCAGTGTGCTGTGAGCGCACTGCAGCGACAACAACCTTTTCTTCAGTGAGGGCTTCCGCACTCTCACTGGGATCATTGTCTTCAGTGAGGGCTTCCGCACTCTCACTGGCATCATCTTCTTCGATATCGATGTTATCGATATCGGCATCAAAACGCAATGACTTCTTCGTCAGAGCGTGATGAGCGTGAACCAAATCGGTTTTTGCTCGCGCGAGTCCCTCCCCCCTTAAACCAGAGTTACACTCTAGTAAGGTGGGTACACGCGGATGGCGCAAGCCATTCACGTAAAACGGTGTATGTGTCGTGGACGCATGCACCGAGTTGTTGATGGCAAACTCTACCATCGGCAAAAACTCACTCCAACTCTTAAAGGAGTGTACGTATCCTCGAAGTATCTCTTCAAAGGACACGATTGGCACGTTCCGTCTGACCATCTAACTCTGGATGATCAGATGTTGACATCTTCAAGCGCGTTCCGAGTGATTTGAACACGGAACGCCAGAAATCAGCAGTGAATCGTGGATCTCTGTCTGATACGAGTTCACGGGGCAACCCATGAAGTCGGAAGATGGTGTCAATAAAGACACAAGCACAGCCACTTGCCGTGATTGTCTCTGGTACAGCCACAAGGTGTACCATTTTGCTGAATCTGTCAACAAATACGAGAATACCCGTATTCCCGCGTGCGTCTTTGGGTAACCCGAAGACGAAATCCATTGAGATGGATTCCCAGCACTCAGCCGGAACCGGTAGAGGCTGTAAAGGTGCACGCAGTGAAGGACTTGACTTCACTCGTTGGCAGACTTCGCATGCGCGAACATACTTTCGCACAAACTGATACTGGCGGGGCCAGTAAAAGTCTCGACTTACCGTGAGATATGTTTTCTCTCGGCCACGATGTCCTCCTATAGGAGCATCGTGATACTCGAACATGATCCGCAAACGCAGATCAGTATCATCTGGAATGACAACACGTGGTGTGTCACCAGAAACGGCTGTATAGTACAGTAAACCGTTACGAGTAGTGTATCGATCTGATGCAGATCGATACGCAGACGACAATCGTTTCAACGATTCTCGAGATGGTTGGGAGAGATGTGACAACAACTTCACTATCTCACCATCTTGGGCGTATGCCCGCCTCACATCATCATACAACGTTGTAGATGGAACTGAGGACGTCATAACCGCAACAGTGACTGTCTCACTGTTGGGTTTCGCGACTGTTTCAAAGTCGGGACGACGTGAGAGTGCATCAGCGACGACATTAAGTCGTCCTGGTTTGTACTCGACCGTAAAGTTGTATTCTGCAAAGAATGACAACCACCGCGCCATTCGTTGTGAAAGGTGCGGGCTGTTCACTGCCGTGCGTAAGGACGCATGGTCAGTGTAAACAACGAAGGGTCTATCTCCTAATAGATAGACTCTGAACTTCGCGAGTGCATACTTCATGGCAAGGAGTTCCTTGTCATGCACTGGATAGTTCCGCTCAGCTGGTTGCAGCTGACGCGACTGATAGCAGACGACGCGTTCAACGCCTTCAAGGTCGTACTGCATTAATGCACAGCCGATTGCGAAATCGCTGGCATCACAGACCACATGAAATGGCCTGTCCTGATCGGCTATTGCTAGGACTGGGGATTGTATCAAGCTCTGCTTGATACCCTCAAAGGAGCGTTGACATTCAGCGTTCCATAACCACCTCTCGTTCTTTTTCAACAAACGAGAGAGGTGTACAGTCATCTCGGCGTAATTGCGTGAATACTTATGCAAATACGCCGCTAGCCCAAGGAATTTTCGAAGACCTTTGACATCGACCGGCACGGGCCAGTCGGCGATCGCCTTGATCTTTTCGGGATCAGGACGTACACCGTTCTTACCAACGATGCACCCAAGAAGTGGTATTTCGCTTGCTGCAAATATACACTTCTTGAGGTTTGCATACAATTGATGCTTTCGCATGATTGTAAGAACTTGTCGGACGTGGTACTTGTGAACCTCAACGTCCGACTTTCCATCCATAGCTCGACTATGGATGAATACGTCATCGAAATAACTCGGCGCGAATTCTCGTACTGGCCTCAACAGATGTGATACACACCTGTTGAACGTGGCAGGGGCATTACTGAGCCCTTGTGGCATTACTAGCCATTCCCAGAGCATGCCGCTAGGCGTGCTAACTGCGGTATAGGGTATATCCCGTTCCGCATTAGGATTTGATAGAAGCCATCCATCAAATCCATGGACGAAAAGATGGTACTCTTTGACATACCATCAATGATTACGTCCTTCCTCGGTATCGGCGTCTGAGCCGGTACCGTTGCAGCGTTCAATTTGTTAAACGCGTGCACTATCCGCCACCCTCCTGTTGCTTTTCGCACACAGAAGGTCGGAGAGCTATGTGGGGAAGTTGATTCCCTCACATGGCCCGCTGCTAAACGATCGGCAAAGAACTTGTCGATCGCAAGTACTTGTTCACGAGGCAGTGGCCACTGCTTCATGACACAGTACTTCGAGCCTGGTTTAAGCTCGACTTCGTGTCGAATACCTTTATCCTTCGGTAATTCGCACGGAACAGTTTCAGGGAATACATCCTTGAATTCAACCAAATCTTCATAGAGAGGATTTTCCTTGAGCGATTCCCATGATTGGGACTCATATCGCTCAATTCGTGTCTTTTCATCTAGGGCACTCTCGTCCATAGATGAACTACTGAGAACTCTCTCGTTCTCAGTAAACACTGTTGCTGACCTTATGTCGGTTACATACTCGTCTTCAGCGACGAGTATGCAGATCTGCTTGACTTTGCCACTACGCAGATCACGCAAGAATCTTTTATGTTCGAGCGTTGGCAACTGAGTGATCTCCGAAGTTAACTTCGGAGGCGCAATCAGATCAAGTGTATAAGCGCCTACACATGATCCGTTATTGACTATGACATTCAATGTCTCTGTCATTTCCTGGGGACTTATTCCCTCAGGCTTCGAAGGACTTATTCCTTCGTCTTCCCGGGGACTTATTCCCGCGGGTTTCGGGGAACTTATTTCCGCCGTATTTGTAATCTTGGGACTTATTCCCTTTACTTCCTCTAGCTGGGGTTGCGCAACCACAGCGAGATCCTCTACGAAAGACTCTCCAGTCGATCTAGGATTATCGTTTCGCTTAACCTGAGCGATCGATTGTTTCTCTTCTAGATGTTCCCCTCTAGGGATACATCTTTGTCCCAGTCCACCCGACTTATTCGAGTGGTGGACCTTCGGCGCAGCCTGTGTTTCCTCACAGCCGCCGGAACTTTGCTCCGAAGTGTAACCGTTTGGTACACTAAGGTTTTGTGCAGTCGTACTAACGACCGTACCACAAGTGAGGCCATCGCACTCACTCGTAGTACATCCACACGCTTGTGGACGCTCCAAAACGTTCATCAGATGGCCATCTGATGAACAAGCGGCAGGCATCGTTACTGTCCGATGTTGCCAGTTTACCCGTGGTTCGTACCTTCTGAGCCACGGTATTCCAAGGATGACATCAAATTTGTCATCCAAATCCAATACGATAAAGTCATCGTCGTATTGGGTATCTTCTAGCGTATAGTGAATCTTCACTATACGCTTCATGACGGTTACGGATGCGCCTGTCGCAAGACGTACCGTCATCCTCGTAGGAGGTGTGTCACATTCACTGAATTTAAAGTGACCATCTTCTAGCGATTGGCGTCGCACAAAATTGTTGGACGCCCCACAATCGACTAGAGCTCGAAGGGACAACTTATTCGTCACTTCGAGTTTCAAGGTAATGAGTGAGATCTCATTACCTAGAGCAGCAACGCACAATGTCTGTGTGTTGGGAGCAACCTTCATCAAGAGGCCTACAAATTCTCTTGACGTTGCTGGATCAGTAGGGTGCTCCGCACCTACTGATCCTGTCCGTTTTTTGACGGTCCATCCCGTTGTTGCGTCTTTGCACCAACTGCGGACCCTCGTCCCTGCCCCTTTCTCATGGGTGGACGGTCACTACGCCCAGTGTCGCGAGACACTGGACGAGGGGCACTACACTCGTAAGCGTAGTGTCCTGTCTTTTGACATCTGTTGCATCTCTGAAACTTCTTGTAGCCTGTAGAGCGAGCCTTCTCGCTCTCTACATAACAGAGTTCCATCGGCTCTGGACCTCCGTTGTCATATCGTCTCGGTTGACGATATGATGTCGAGCTGGCGCGAGCCTGTCTCAGACTGAAGTCTTCCTGCTCCGCAATGGAAATGGCTTGTTCTAGTGAATCTAGTTCAAGCCGGAACAGGTGAGTCTTGACGGGACCATCCGCAAGACCCTGCATGAACACCGAAACCAACGTGTGTTCATCCACCGGATTGGAACTTATACAACTCGTGAGATGTCGTATATGTTGAGCGTAAGCGTGCACATCACGCTTACCCTGCTTGAGCTTCAAGAGTTCGGTTCGAGCTCTGAACTCAGCTCTAGTCGGTTCAAACGTTTGTCTGAGCCGCGACTTGAAGACTTCCAACGACCCAAACGCGTATGGGTCGTGCAGCTTGAGCCCCAGTGCCCAAGTCTTGGCACGTCCTGCCAGATTTGACTGGGCAAATGCAACTTGCATATCCCCGTCGTCGATGCGACGCGCCCTTATGGCGTCATCCAATTCGACGAACCATCTCAAGAGGGAGT